TTAAAGATGATGTAGTTTTGCAGGTTTTAGGTTTTTTTTTTTTTTTTTTTTTTTTTTTTTAAGTTTTATCTAAGTAATCTCTACACCCAACCTGGGGCCTGAACTCATGACCCCAGGATCAAAAGTTGCACATTATTCCTACTGAGCCAGCCAGGCGCCCGGAGTTTTGTATTTTAAATGTGGCTTTTCAGTATGTTGGAATCCCAGGCCGGGTTTTTATATCATTATAGCTTCAAAATCGTGGAAGTGATTGTTCACTAGCCCTTGGGAAGCACTCTCGGGAGTAATTCTTCCTGTTCCTTTTGGTATCTAAAACAATCCCAGTTCAAACTTAGATCCTCATCCTTCCTTGACAGTTTTTCTTTTGACCTGATAGGGGACTAGGCTTCTCAGACCCCATTATGTTAATTTCTGCCATTTCCCTTTGAAGGCCGTAACTTCTATCCCCTGGTCCCTGTCACTTTGAATGTGAGTTGTCACTGTAGTTTTGAATTCCTCCATACATACTGGGTGGGTCAGTAATGACAGCAGTTGCTGTCACTGCTTCTTAGGAGGAAATGAACTGACTAGCCTAGCAGCTGCTGCCCAAGTCCCGGGCGTTGCTGTGGGTATCCTGGCAGTGCCCAGAGAATGTGTGCTGCTTACACTGAGCCAGCATCAAGGGGCCTTGGGGTCAAAGTGAGGAAAGCTGGGATTTGAACAGAAACTAGATTCTGGTGTGGCCTTTGTGTTCCTCTGCATGCTGACTAACCCTTTGGGAGCTGTGCACAGTCCGCTAACTCAGGAGCCAGCGGTGTTTGAATGGCTTAGTCCAGTGCGCATCCTACAGGGCTTGGATGGGCTACATCAGGGATGGTGCCTTTGTTTGACTGGACACAGCTCTTTTTGGTCATTTGTTCCTGCTAAGCATAACCTCCTCGAATGGGCTATGACCTCCTGATTCAGTCAGGGTTCAAGCTCCATTAAGAGTTTGCTTATTTCCTGACCCAGAGAAGACCACTTTTACCTTGAGAATTAGGACACCTGCTGCTTGAGTTTGGTTGGGGTTAGTTACTGTGTTCTTCCATCGAGGTGCTTCCTCATGTTTTCTATGATTCTGATTTTATCCAACTTACTCGCACCTGCCCCCCGCCCCCACTGGTCCTTGTTTTCCTGATTGTCCTATGAAGTGTGGTCCCAGGGAACCAGATGCATCCAGAGCAGGGGCAGCCCCCCTGGTGATCGCTGCCTCTCTCTCCTCTGGCTGATGGGTGCCCGAGGCCAGGGACCAGAGGGGTTCTGCCAAGGGCTGCAGAGCACCTGGGCCTCCCTCCCATCTAAGGTAGGACAGATTCTGGAGTGGGCCCACTATGCCAACTGTCCAGGGCCCTGGGAGGAAGAACTGTGCTGGAAACACGTGGGGGCAGGCCCCCCCACCCCCCACCAGGAGGCAATGTGGCTGTTAATGTTATTCTCCAGAGGCACATTTCTCTTATTTGCTGAGTTCTCTTCTCTTCTGTGTTTTCTGCCCCTCCCCACCCCCTCAAACCTTGCCCTTCCCAGTCTTCTGTATGGTTGGCTTTCCTCTGCAGTAGCTGCCCTAAGTAAAATGTGTGGACTCCTACAAGAGCTTAGCACCATAATAAATTTTGTTAAACATAAAAAAAAAGAACTTGGTATTTTTAGCACATGTGAAATTGTGCTGCCACAGCCTCTGTAACCAGCTGGCAAAGTGGAATGAGATGCCTCCTCTTTCTCACTTGCCTGCTAAAGGCTTGCCTTAGCCACCCCCTGGCTGAGCAGAACACGTGGAGGGCATGGAGGGCGGAGGTACCAAGGAGGGAGAACTAGGCAGTGGGCAGGCAGTTGGGAGAAAGGGGGCTGGGGGTAGGGGTGGGGTTGGGGTGGGGAGCTGCGGGCCTGCTCTGAAGGGGGACCGACTGTCCGACTGTCTGCAGAAATAGAACAAGCTCCGCAGCTTTTGAAACAACAGGAAAGCTGTCCACGCCCTCCCCTGTAGGGCACAGCAGTGCCGGCAACCCCTGGGCTCTGAGGGGTCTGCAGGTGCACATCTCTGGCCCTTTACCCCAGAACCCCGGGCTCTGCAGAGCAGGCTGGCTCATCCTCCAGCCCATCATGTGGCATCACTGATTCCTACCCCGCTGTGTCCTCTGGCTCTTGCCCTGTCAGCCTCTGCACACTGCAGGCCCCTCCCTTGCCGCCTCCTGCCCCACGGCTGCTTGGGGACCCCCTTCCTCACAGGCAGATTTGAGTGCCACCCCCCCCGCCCCGACCAAGGCCCACCGCCTTGGCTGCTCTCAGGTTTCATACCTGCCTACGGGTCTGGTCCTTCAGGGCCAGAGTTTGGCGGGGAGGGGGGCAACCCTTGCTCATTCTAGAAGGCTCTTGAAGGTTCATGGAATGAATGCCTGAATGAGTGAGTATAATGAACAGGAATTGGCAAGCCCAGCACCTGCCTTAGGTAGCTTGCTAGGCTCCTAGGTGCCAGGCTCCTCGGGTGTGGCTAAGGAGAGGAAGTGGTCAGAGAAGACTCTGTAATGACTTTGGAACTCCGGGGCTGCTCTCTACAGCTTTCCTGCTGGAGCTGGTTGCCTTTGCAGATAACCTCTCCCCAGTCTTCACCTCGCCCGATTCCAGGAACGCTTTCACTCTGCCTGCCAGCAGCCTTTCCATATTTTGCCTCCATCTGTCGGTTAACAAAGCAGTTCTTGTTTCTGTGTTTCAATTGTGTAGGTTTTGCCCTTTCCCCTAGGTTATAAATGCCTTATAGCCTAGGAAGCATTTGACAGGAATGGGAAAAATAGTGCTCCAAAGTAATGTTTTGTCCCTACACATATATATGTGTGTGTGTATGTGTATGTATGTATGTACCTATCTATCTATCTATATATATATCTAGCAGTGATCTTAGGGGATCTTAGGGGATTACCCTCCTTGCAAAGGCCTCTGTTTTCTTATCTGTAGAATTAGAGGGCTGTATGCTCTCTGCTGTTTCCCAGGCTCACATCCTGTGACTCAGTGCTATTGAGCCCAGCACTTGGCTAATCCCACCCAGTCCCTGGGTCAGGGTTCCTTCCCCAGATCAGCCAGGTAATTGAGCTCATTCACTTACGGCCGAGGCCAGTTCACCTCTCAGCTGTTTGTGGGAGCTCCTGGGATCTGGGACAACATTGGTGGAATATGTGTGTGGTGGTCCTGTGGTGATGCCTGTGGCCCTTTACCTTGCCCCTACCTACTGCCAAGAAAACTTTCAGGCCCCGGGGACCCTGCCTTGGTCCTAAGTCTCCACTCCAGTTCTCTGTGTTGGTGCATGCTATTCATGCCTTCGGATGTGGGACAGAGTGTGGGGTGGAAGTGGGCTATGCCTGCCATGCAGGGATGTGGGAAGAGGGATGGTGCTAGCGACGTGTGTTCCCATGTGAGCCAGCCCTCATTCTAGAACACCATGCTTCACTGGCCCTCCCTGTTTTTTGAGTGCATTTCCTTCTGTTGCACCTGCTGCATTGTATCGGTTTAAGTTTTTGTTGTTGTTCAATCCTTTATTGGGATCAGAAAGACAGGTGGGAGGGACTGTTTTGTTTGTAGGGGTTTTTTTGGTGTGTGTATGGTTTTTTGTTTTTGCATCTGAGATCTGTGGGTTTCTTAAAGGCTGGGAGTGGCTTGTTTTCTGTTTGAGGAGTTGTTGGTTCACATGTGTGTGTCCAGCTCTTTCCCCCAGCTCCAGCCTCATTTCTCTGTCCCCTGAGATGTGTTCCTTCCCTTTGTTACTGTTCCTAGCTGTTCTGTGAGTCAGCCAGACCCACAGATGTGTGTGGACAGCATTATCAAAAGGAGTCCTGCAGAAACAGTGGGTTTCTGAAGATCCCTCCTGGCTGTGAAACTGAGATTTTTAAGGCTTGTGGGTTGGGATTAGGGCCTCCTCTTAATGGAGCTAGCATCACTGGGGAGGGAGGGAAGAAGGCATAGTAGGATACCGAGTACACCGGTCATGCTGCCCAGACCCTCCCTGCCATGTCTGCGCCAGACTGATGGGTTGATGGAGGCTGAACCCATTTGGGTCAGGAGTTCCCAGAGTAAGAGCTGCTCCGGAAAGGCAGAGGAAGAAAGCACGAGAGCTGGGCAGAGGGAAGGAGACTCAGGCCAGTTGTATCTTGGGCAAGTTTAGGTTCTAAACAGTATTATTAAAAGATGAACTAACTAAGGCATATTAAAAAAAACACTTTACGAGTTGGAGCAAAAATCAATAGGAATCTGGCAGTGGCAGATTGGAAGTGGTTAGGAGTGCTCTGCCAACAGGCACCAGGGGAAAGTCTCCTACAGAGAAAGTAGAAAAGCAAAGAAAAATTATTTAATCAGCTGTAGCTTAAAGCCTGGTTGGCTGCATGTGATTGGTTGTCCCTTGGGTTTGATTTTATAACCTTGAGGCATTTACAGGCTTAGATAACTGCCACATCATTAAGCCACATGGGCCTAATGGCCTCCTTGTTTAATTAATTAGACAGTATGTGAACCGAAGATTCAGCGTCTAGCCAAAATTACCTTTGAAAAATGCCTCAGGAAGGCATAGTGTTAGATGTTGACATATCATTGCTTGTTAAGTTTAATGGGGCCATCTTCCCCCTCCAGTGTATGTTGAGTTCCATATGTCCTTGAATTAGGTTTAGGGGTCATGTTCTATAAAATGTATCTTTTAAAACACCAGAATCCTACTCTGAGAGGTGCTGATACCATGAGAGATGGCACAGTTTTCACGTTGTTTCAACAACCCCTTTCTGGGCTTGACTCACCTGGGTGTGTGTGTGTGTGTGTGTGTGTGTGTGTTTTTTTTTGCAGGGACCAGCCATAGGACTCCACCTTTACTGTCCCCAGCACCTAAGCCAGCGGGGCATCTGGGAACTCTTGACCACGAATAATGCTGACATCTCCACATCACGGTTCTAACTGAAATGTTAATTGTGTTTGTTAAACTCAACTCTCCAAATTCTCTGCTTTGTCAACAGGCTGCTGGTGGGGGCCCCTCGGGCTGCGGCCCTTCCACTGCAGAGGGCCAACAGAACAGGAGGCTTGTACAGCTGTGACATCACCTCCCCGGGACCTTGTACACGGATTGAATTCGATAACGATGGTGTGTCCTTCTGTCCTTGCTCTGTTCACTTGGCCAGACCCCACTTGCCTTTTCCATGAGGAGGGAGGGGGAGCCCAAGCCTTTGTTCTTGGAGAGAGAGCCTCTCTTAAATACCTGTCTTGACTGTTTCTTGTTTGCCCTGAAAACATCTACTTTTTAAATGAGGCTGGGATGCATACTGACTTGCAGCCCTTCCTAAGCGTGCTTTCTAAAACGATATGGTGTATGGATGTCGCCACCTAGTGTTGTGCTGAGGTTCTACAGGAGGCTGTTGAAAAACTAAATTCAGAGCTGCAAAGAAAATTGTGCATAGCTTGTACTTAGCTGCCAAAAGTTCTCGCTTGCTGTTAAAATATTTGGGAGAAAGGCTGTTTTAAATATCAGAGCTCTCTAAAGTGAGAGCTGACCATCATGGATAATTTTGCCCTCTGGCTCCAACAGAGGCTTGTCTTGTGAGGGATCTATGCTGAGTTGAGCAGTTAGCATACTGACAAGCTCCAAGCGAGCCAGATTTGATGCACTTGGTCTAAGTAGATTTGCAGATTCATGTTTATGTTCTTCTCTTTTTCATCTTTTAGAAATAACGTTTGGTTTTTTTTCTTTACTGATTAGAAAATGATATATGTTAATTGTGAGAAAGTTGCAAAAGACATCAACCTATATAAAGAAAAACCCCAAAACCATGGGTAATCTAGACATCGCTCTTTAACATTATAGCATTTTGGCTTCACTCTACTTAAAGTTGTTTAGTTTTCACATTTTTGCAATGATTCAAGATAAAAAAAGAAAGGGTGCCTGTCTTCTCACTGAGGAAGGCAAAACTTTAGGTATAGATTGATACTGAAATAAACACATACATGATGGTGTTTGTGGTTTCTCTCTTTTTTGCGGGGGAGAGGTAAAAACTAAATAAATTACTTTCCTTCTTGGCATTGATAGAAAGATGAAAAGTGAATCTGAGGCCTTGTCTTCTCTCCTCCAGGAAAGAAAAGAATAGTGCATGCTGTTATATGACAAATTTAGGACTGTGTAGAGAAGTGCCCAGTTCTTGTTAGTTTGGATGACAGTTGGAGTTTGGAGACTGGATTTTCCATCAATGCTTTAAGCCGCACATGTTGGAAGGCTACCCCTGAGTCTTATAATTTTCAAATAGGTTTTTGTACTCAGGATCCTGGTTGTCAGAAAGAGTGTAGGGCCACCAGGTAAAAGCTATATAGTTTATGTAAAGAATTTTAAGAAGGTTTTTACCAGGAACCACTTACCTGTTTCTTCAAAGGAGAAATAATTTTTCTGGATTGAGTAACTGAATTTACTAAGGAGCAAGACTCGGAACCTAGGCAGAGTAGAAACCATCTTGTGTTTGTGTTCCTCTCTTGGTGCATTGCCTGCTTCAGTGACTTTGAAATGCTAACTGTGTGTACGTAACCTGCGTAACCTGCGCTGCTTTCCACAGCGGACCCTTCATCAGAAAGCAAGGAAGATCAGTGGATGGGGGTCACCGTGCAGAGCCAAGGTCCAGGGGGCAAAGTTGTGGTAAGTGTGGAGAAGCGTGCCCATTCCACAAGGTCTGAGCGCCTGTCGTGTGCCAGCACCAGGCCGACAGCAGTGCGCAAGGCGGGCAGAGACCCTGTCCGCCCCGTGGACAGTCCCGAGGACTTGCTGCTTTACAGCAGGAATTGATGTCAAGAAGAAATCAGGCATGAGTTGGTGGAGAGACTTCCTAAAGATGTTATTTATTTATTTATTTATTTATTTATCTGAGAGAGAGAGCAAGCAGAGGGAGGGGCAGAGGGAGAAGGGGAGAGAATCTCAAGTGGACTCCACACTGAGCATGGAGCCTGACTCGGGGCTCGATCCTGTGATCCTGAGATCATGACCTGAGCTGAAACCAAGAGTCAGATGAGTAACTGATGGAGCCACCCAGGTGCCCCTCTGTGATTTTTGATACACTTTGAAATAGTCATAAAACCCGCTTTTCTTTAGAGCTTTCAGACTCAAAGAACTTATTACTATACCTTTACTGAATATTCCTAAAATGCCAGCTGGTCTTTAGAATGCAGGAGAAAACTAGACGTGGCTTATGTCCCAGAAACTATGTGACTTTTTTAGATGAGTTATAAAGAACGTGGGAATGGTCATGGAAAGTGAGGAAAGTGAGAGCAAATTTAAAAGTCTGGTTGTTTGTTCTGAACATCTTCAAATATAAGTAGCAGTGAAGGAAGAAAGGGGTTTGTTCAGTGGATTGTGGGAGATGGCCTTGGAAATGCCTGCCTGGCTGGATCACGATGCTCTGTCTCTATCTCTTTTAAAATCCGGTTGCTCTAACAAATTGATACAGGATTTTGAAAAAAAATGAGAATTTTGCTGAATCCTAAGTTTTGATAATTAAGAGATCATCATTACAGGAAATCAACTTGGCTGTCAAAAAGTCTCTTCAGCCTGCGTTGTATGGAAAGTAACCCTGAATACCTTGTAAAATTATAAAGAGTATTTCATTTTTTCTGGCAGTGTAATTCACTCTGCCTTTTAAAATAACCTTAATCTGAGCTTAGAGTACAAGTTAGGACTGATTATAAGGAAAAAATAGTGTGGGTAAAAGGGAAATGTCTTTGTTTTAGCTATGTCTGCCTCGTCCTAGGAAAATATGTCCGTGATTGCTCCCCTCTGGAACATAATTACAAATTTTCACCAGCATACTGATGGGAAAGTTTATACGGCTAATAAAAGCCAATTAAGAAAATGAGAGAAGATATTTCCCATTGTTTATGTGACAGGTCAGTTTACAAATACATTGCCTGTGGATTACAGACTGGCATTCAGTATTTGGACTGGAGCATTATCTTCCAGGTGAGAATAAGACAGAAGTCCTAGTTCTGGTATGCTAGATTGTGGTCCCCTCGTGCCACTTTGGAGAACCGTTGCTGGTTTTGGATCCCATTCCAGGATGAGGGACATGTTTAACATCCTATTTAGAATTAAGCTCTCTTTATTACAAATTGATAAAATGGTCACTAATGAGCATAAAGTCTGTAAAAATGAATGGGCTGCTTTATTCCATCTGTTTGCAGACATGTGCTCACCGATATGAAAAAAGGCAACATGTCAATACAAAGCAGGAATCCCGAGATATCTTTGGAAGATGTTATGTCCTGAGTCAGAATCTGAGGATTGAGGATGACATGGATGGAGGAGACTGGAGTTTTTGCGATGGCCGATTGCGAGGCCATGAAAAATTTGGTTCTTGCCAGCAAGGAGTAGCTGCTACTTTTACTAAAGACTTTCATTACATTGTGTTTGGAGCCCCGGGCACTTACAACTGGAAAGGTAGGACATGTATTTATAGCAATAGAGATTCGAATGACTGCATAATTTCTGTTACATGCACCCGTGATTGAGTACATTTGAAGTTAAAACAAAATGTTACAAGGCACTTGTATATTACAGAAGTAAGGTAGGATTTGTAATCTCTCAATTATATGATTTCAAAAACAGTGGTGGAAATGTATTTTGGAAGATATGTTTCTCCTCTCTCAGCAATTTGCATTAATACAAGTAGTTAACTTTTTTCTCTAAGAATATAATAATTAACATCCGTAGTTTTTTCTGTTTTGTATTTTCCTGTTTCTTGAGGCTAAAAGTATTTTAAGTTTTAATGCTGGCGGACATTTCATTTTAAGGTAGTGATCTGAAAAAATAATTGTGTGGTGTCATGTACAAGTAACAGTATATTAATACAGACATTTTTTTCATTATATCTTAAAAGGCTGTGTTTTGCTAGTAAAGTAGAGAAGTTAGAAGGGTAGATGACAAATTAGAGCATTGCGAGATGATAAATTTAGATAATTTATGGGAAAGTTGTTTAATGGTATCGTTTAATTATGATTGTGATGTGGGTAAAAGGAGACACTGGGAGGGAGTGGGGAGAAGGGCCCTCAGTTTGACTGAGTTTAACTTCTTTCAAGAAATTAGGCTGGCATAGAAAATCACTGTGTTATGAAGGACAGTTAACTCTAACGCACAATGAAGAGAAATGCATGGGATTTAGACATCAGACATTTTTCTGAGAAATTTATTAAAATAAATGTGTTATAACATTTTCTGTAGTTAAGAATAACTTAGGGAAATTTTCCCTTTTGCACTCAAAAAAACTCCCCCAAGTTTGAATTCCTATTAGATATAATCCTTGAGGAACATATTCCCCTTTATGTCATCCATAGTAACCTTTGGGAGGAATTTCCTTTGGCCTCCCCACTCCCAACATAACAGTATTTGTCAGGTTATGTTTACCTCATCCAAATAACACATAGAATTTAGAAATAGTTTTGTCATAGCAAGAATAGATGCCACTTATGGTTAAAATAACAAAAACACCCACAAGTTATGTATGTATGTATTTATGGGAAACATTTTTTACCTGCTTTATAAACCCTGATTTAAAATGTTACCGTTTTTAAAAAGTCACATAGTGGGCTTACTATATGAAATCTTCTCTTTTTAATTGTTAATTTTGAAAATTTTAGAAAGATGAAATCTTGGTTCAGGTGGTTTGGAGAAAGGATCAACACATTTCAGCTTTACACTCTAGTAAAGTAGGTAAATTGATGGTAGGATGACAGACGATATAAAATACATCAGGCTCATGTAATTTCTAAAAAGTTACTTTCTCTAGATTTAGTTAATGAAGTAAACATTTCATTTTCCATCCAGTTTTGTGACATTACAGAGAATTCCTAAAAATGCATTTTTTTTCATTACTAGAACAAACTTCTTTGTAAAAATTCACATAACCATGATTCTTTAAACTTTAATAACCTCAAAAGCCCTCTATTTCCTCCGCCCTTCTTCCTCCAGACTCTTCTTGTCCTTATGAACATGAGGCATGTGTATTAGGAACCATCTCTTTTATTTTGTTCCATCTTCATGGTTTTTTGTTGTTTTTTTTGCCATTTCATTTCTTTAGGCATCGTTCGCGTAGAGCAAAAGAATAATACTTTTTTTGACATGAACATCTTTGAAGATGGGCCTTATGAAGTTGGTGGAGAGACTGACCATGATGAAAGTCTAGTTCCTGTTCCCGCGAACAGTTACTTAGGTAGGAATGAGCGCAGCTGGCATGCCCGCCTTTCCAGATACCTCAGTGAGACCCTGTCTGCCCAGGACCCTGGACTTCGAGGCTGAGAATAGGCCAGGAGGAGCCAGGGGCCTGTGGCTGCGCTGATGGGAATTGGATTTAAGCTTTGGTGATCCCAAGGTAACCTGGGTGATGCTTGGGACTCTTCCCTTCTGACCTGGGCCAGCAGTGGCCTCTGTAAACTGGAAACAGGCAGTTGGGACAGGGGGTGGTGGGGAGAGGCAGGGATGTTGGCAGTGAGCTGAGCTGCCTCCTCTCTCCCTCCAGTGCCTCTTTCTAGAGATACTCTTAAGAGCTACATTTATGAAGTTACTCTGAAGTGGCAGGTCAAGACCTCCAGGTCCTTCCTTGGTGACTGTTGTTCTCCAAGGGTCAGCTCTGCTTCCGGACTGGGGCCTCCTTGTCACAGGCCCCCTGGCGGGTGGCATGGTGGCTTTCCAGTGGCAGCTGAGCAGCACTGCCAGAGCAGCTTGGAGGACCCCCAGACTGTGTCTAAGTGCCAGTTTCCTAACTCCTCAGGCTTATTTGCATTACTAATGGGTGTCCTAAATTATTCATGTGCATTATGGTAATTACACAAAGGCTTTTAAAAGCTTTAATTCTTGGTATGAGTTGACATAAAGAATAATTACTGTACATTTCTTGGGAAAAAATGTAAAAAAATCTCCTAAACCTAAATAGTGACCTACATTTTTTTTTTTTTTTTAAAGTACCCCTGTGCTAGAGATGTTACTGGAACAATGGAAGGTAAAAAGTAAAAACACAAGAATAATTCTAAACAATGTGTTAGTAAGCATATTCTAAAAATGTTCTAATTATAGAGATATGCATGAATGGTACTGTTAATTAAAAATAAAACAAAAACAAAACCACAACTTTTCAGACACTCCTCCTTCCAAATAAAAAATCTGATGTGAGGGCATAGAAGAGGGCAGAGAAAAGTTAAACTTACCACTTGTTAAGTGCCAACCATGTGCTGTATTTATTGCTATACAAGTTGTACTTGACCTTCCCAATAATATTATAAAATAGGTATGATTATCCCTCTTTTGCTGATGGAAAAAAACTGTGACCTAGGGAGATTCATTTCTTAGTCCAAGGTCACACAGTTGCTCATCCCTCAACCAAGGAAAGAAAGGCTCGTGGAAATGAGGCAGGATGCGAAGCAGCTGGGTGTGTGAGTGCTGGGTCAGTGGCTTTGCAGGACACAAATGGGACGCAGACGCCATCCGTTTGCAATCTCAATTACTCAGTATGGTTTTTCAGGGTAAATACCATCAACACACAAGTATGTTCTTTGAATATATTTTAACAGGCAGCCTCTCATCAACTGTGTTATTTAGGGATTATTTTTGATGAGAAGTAATATTAAATTAAAATTTAATGTAATGGTTAAGAAACCTGGTCAGGTTTTTCTGGTCAAGAAACCACCACTTTGGTTTTTAAGATAGATGCCCGTGGATTTTTACAAACAGTTGCTCTTGGAGCATTCGAGAGGTTTTGGCATATTTTATTAAACACATTAGCCCCTTTTAAGAATGGGTTGCCTCAAAAGAGGCTGCCTGGAGGGGCAAAGAGTCCAGTTCGTGTTGTCACATTTTTGTTGTCCGTGCTGTCTGTGTGTCTATTGTTTCAAAAAAATCAATGGGCTTGAGGAAGCAAGTGATCTGCTTGTGGTTTTGGAACCTGGTGAGGCTGGCCAGCCAGAGGCGGGGGTGGCCACCTCGTGCAGCAAGAGCATCGGGAGCTGGCAGGCCTCTTACGAAGCATAATTGCTTTCTCTTCAATCTTTTCCGTTCCATGCGTGTGTCCAGGCCTGCTGTTTCTGACCAGCGTTTCCTATACAGATCCTGATCAGTTTGTTTATAAAACACAGCCTCCCAGGGAGCAGCCCGGCACATCCCCCGATGTGATGATGAATAGCTACCTAGGTTTGTGACCTCTGAGATGACAAATAAATTGTCTTGGTCATGGTCATTTAAAGAAATTTTTTTTTGGGGGGGGGAATCCATACAGAGCATAAATCTTTTCATTTTCTATTCCATTTTGAGTGAAGCACGCTGAAAAGCACGCCAGGCTGAGGCTCTGCTGCCAGGTGGTTTGCAGAGCTGCATTTGATTACATCACCCTGTTCTAAACTCGGAGCTCATCATATTCTCCAACTCACTTCACAGTTTGAGAACTGCAACAGTAGTGGTGAAGCTTTTTGTAAATCACAATAAGAAGGGTGAGCTTATGCTCTCTGGCATCTGCCTCCCCTCCCTATAGGAAGATTTGCTCAGTTTGAGTGGTTTTGACAGAGGCATTGATATGCACCTCCTGGCAGATCTTTGTCTGTTACCTGACCCCCCCAGCTGATGCTTTCTAATTGGGCGCCGTATGTTTTCTGCCCTCCGAACGAGTATATGATTATCAACAGTGAGAACGTGCTCACCTCTATTGTTTATACGAGGTTCTCAAATACTCCATCTCACCGGTCATGGTCTTGTTTGCATGTTTGTGTCTGAGAATTAAGTTGGTCCGAAATACTGAAATGCTGTCTGTGGTAGATGAAGGATATTAGCATTTGTTTTACCAAGGAGACTGATAAATGTGGAAGTTACTAATCATTACGTTATAGCAGAACCCTATAACGTGCACTCAGGTATGTTGGTCTGTACTTTCCCATGATATTTTAGGATCTAGCTTGATCTCCTTTTACCACAGTTCTAGTATCAAAGTAGAGTGCAAACAGCTTCGGGAGATGCATGAGTGTTTCATGATCCAAGTTACCCATAAGCTAAGTAGCACAGGTAATTTCTGTGAAAAAAGTCTTCATGTATGTCACAGAAAGCCATGACCCTAGCCTACTGCTTTGTACTTGGGTCAAACTCTTTCATGTTGTAAGTGTGACAGCTGCTAAAAAAGGCCTGGAAGGAGAGGGGTGGGAAGCCAGAGGCAAAGGTGGTGATGGCGTTACCGTGTTAGATGCCTCCTGAAATACACGGTGATGTGAACTATTACTTTGTTTTTCTAGGCTTTTCTTTAGACTCAGGAAAAGGTATTGTTTCTAAAGACGAGATCACTTTCGTTTCTGGTGCTCCAAGAGCCAATCATAGTGGAGCTGTGGTTTTGCTAAAAAGGGACACGAAGTCTGCTCATCTCCTCCCTGAATACATCTTTGACGGGGAAGGTCTGGCTTCTTCATTTGGTTATGACGTGGCAGTGGCAGACCTTAACAAAGATGGGTAAGTGCATCTTCGGTTACTTTACATCTGCCAAAAACCGTTGGTTCTTGGGCATTTTTCAGTCTTGAGTGGAGCCATCCTTTCAGGTTCGTTGACTCAAAGAACATTTTTGCTGCCAGATGTTTATCTTCCTGCCACGTCCTTATCACTTGTATTTTGGCAGCAGACGTTCATTACCTTCCTCAGGTTATTTACATTTTCACTTTTTCATTTTCACTCATATTTTGGGTCTGTGAGAATTAAAATATGGAAAAACATTAACTCGAAAAATGACACCTACGTGGCTCTTCTGCTGTGGCTTCTCACGGGGCTGTGGGAGCATCCAGAAAGTCCTTTTAAAAACCGGGATCGGGGGCGCCTGGGTGGCTCAGTGGATTAAAGCCTCTGCCTTCGGCTCAGGTCATGATCCCAGGGTCCTGGGATCGAGCCCCGCATCAGGCTCTCTGCTCGGCAGGGAGCCTGCTTCCTCCTCTCTCTCTCTCTCTGCCTGCCTCTCTGCCTACCTGTGATCTCTATCTGTCAAATAAAATAAATAAAATCTTAAAAAAAAAAAAAACAAAACGGGATCGGCGACAAAGTAATAGTTATGTCTAGTGGTGGTGGTTTGGGGGGTGGGTGGAGGGGAGCACAGTCTGTGCACTCTCGTTCCAACTTGGGGACTATCTTCAGATTCTTCCCGTTGATACCTTCCTCTGGGCATTCATCGTGGGCTGTTGTGTAAAATGTTTTACCTAAACCTAAACACTTACATACCTAAACATTACATTATCTGAACATTACATAAACACACCTACAAAAATGTTTTAATGGATGAGAAATCAATTCCAGATTTGAGGTCCTTTCTGCGTCCTGTCTCTGTGTCCTTAGTACCTGGGCTGATGGCATTCTCTGTGAGCTCGCTGGTATTTTAGCCGATGGTTCAGTTTTATCCCTCGTTATGTTTTTAGGTGGCAAGATATAATGATCGGAGCCCCACAGTATTTTGATAGAGATGGAGAAGTTGGAGGTGCCGTGTATGTTTACATAAACCAGCAAGGCAGGTGGAATAAAGTCAAGCCCATTCGTCTTAATGGAACCAAAGATTCTATGTTTGGCATTGCAGTAAAAAATATTGGCGACATTAATCAAGACGGCTACCCAGGTAATAGATGGTGAAATAGTTATGATGCTCACAGGCTGATTATTTGATTGTCCAAAATAATGAATGCTTATGGCATCGTACTGGGATGTTTGTTGAAATGTGACGTTGTCAACAGATATTGCAGTTGGAGCTCCCTACGATGATATGGGAAAGGTTTTTATCTATCACGGATCCCCGAATGGAATAAATACCAAGCCGACACAGGTAACCAGACAGCCTGGGTTTCTACAATGAGGGTCTCCGTGTTTTGCCTTGTAGTAGGGTATTGGGTTTATGTGCATTTTCATGCTACTCATGTTTGATTGACAAATCTATAATAGTGTGAACTTTGTGCTTTTTAAAAATGTACCATTGGAAGATAGCTTGGAAATAGATTTACAATAAGCACATCGTTGCATTTATTTGTAAAATTTCTTAGATAAATTGGGAATCAAAGTAGTCCAAGGAAAAAGACTGTTTTACCCAGATAGCATAAATTGATGGAAACGTGAGCTCTTTCCTTTAGTGGGATACTAACTGGAGGTAAAATGGGCAAAAAACCCAAACAAACAAACCAAATGGTTGTGATGACATGGAGGATTGAGATGCCAAAAATTTAAAATTGCTTTTGAGAAAAACAAGACATTTGGAGGGCAGGTAGAGAGGTTTGGTATATAGTAAAAGAAGCTCATCAAAAATTGGCCCCTTTATCCTTTGAGATAGAATGTAAATCAGATGACTTCTATGAGATAAAATGTATGAAGTGTTGGAGCACATGTGTGCTTATAATTTATTTATAATTTAGTATAATTTATAAGTAAACTCTTAGACTTCAGTTTATGAGGAAACATTTGGCTTTTTTTCAAAGCATCAAGAAGCTCATTTTGGTGGCCCATTGTTCATTCTGATGCCCTGTTCATTTCAGATTCTTGAGGGTAAATCCCCTTATTTTGGATATTCAATTGCTGGAAATATGGACCTTGATCGAAATTCCTACCCTGATGTTGCAGTTGGTTCCCTCTCAGACTCAGTGGCTGTGTTCAGGTGTGTGATCTCTGACTTCAGTTAAGTATGTTCAATATTCAGCTTTAACTCAGATTTTGACCTTTTTAATTGAAAATCCTAATACCCATATTTCAAAGTTTAAGGTTTATATGGATTTTGAAGATTTTTTTAAAAAGCGATATAACAATGTGATAAGAACTATTTTGTAATGCCTCACTAATTTTGAATTGAAAAAGAAATCAGAACTGGTGAAAATTTTTATTTCATAGGTACTTTTAAAACCTTATATTTTCTTAAAAGAGGAAACATAATATTTGACAGTGCAAAGAATATAAGGAAGGAAATAAGAACCCCCGTTTTTCACGATCCATTAAGCAGCTCCAAAATTTTGGTTTATATCCTTTTAGTCTTTTGTGTTCTGTGAGTGCATGTGTATATTTAACAAAACGGAGCTCACAGTGTGCGTATTGTTTTGTAATCTGCATTTGTCTGTAATGCCTAGTGGACTTTGTCCACGTCCGTGAGTTTATCATGCACAAGGGCTTTTCCCCTGTCCTTGAACACTTTTCTGCGATGAGGTTGCTGGCTGCCTGTAATGTGTCACGAGGCTGGGTCTAGTTTATTTAACCATCACCATACTGTCCTTGGATATTTATGTTCCTTTCCAGGTTTGTTCGTTTTGTTTTTTTCGTGATACACCAGCTGGCCAACATCCTTTACTTTTGTTCACGTCCTGAATTCTTCCCTCACGATAAATTCCCAGAAGTGAGTTTGCTGAGTGGAGGGCATATGTGTTTTCAGACTTTAGATTCACATTCACCAAAATGACCTCCAGAAAGGCTGCCTCGGTTTGCCCATCAGCTTTGCTTGAGTCGCCATTTTCCTAGTGAATTTCATCACTGCTGGGACTCACCACTTAACATCATTTATTTCATTTGTAATTTGAGAAGTAGCACGTTCTTGTAAAAAAGTTAATACACAGTTGTGGAAAATCCAAGTTCCCCAATATTCCCATCGTCCACGAAACAACTTTGGATAGTTTTGGGTATCTTTCTGCTTCAAGGGCTTCCTCAAAGGGCCATTCTCACTGCTCTAACCTGGGTCTTAAAAATCTAATCTTTGTTGGTTCTCTGTCTTTGTCAGTATAGACACATCCATCTTATTTTTTTTAACGAGCTAATGTTGTTCCATTATAAGCATTTAATCTTCAATTAATGGAATTTTTAGTCTCTGACCTTTAGCTAAGGCAAACAGTGTGCTACAGAATATTATACATCTCTATTTTTTTTTTTTTAAGAAAAATTCCTAGAAATAGAATCCCTAGGATACAGGTTAGAACATTTTTGTATTAATACATATATCTACAGAGAGGTTGTGACAGTTTTTGGTCATGGCAGCAAGCTGTGAGAAAGCCTGTTTCCTCGTACCCTTAACAGCATCAGACATGATGAATCTGGTTTTTGCTCGTGTGCTTTGTGTCCCCATCCTTTGGCTGAATTTGCATTTCTTGGATTCTTAGTGAGAATTAACCATTTGGGTTTTTCCTTTTTCTTTCTTCCTTCCTTTCTTTTTCTTCTCTCTCTCTCTTTTTTTTAACTATTTGGCTTTATAGTTATTTTAATCTTAAAGACATCTTTAAATATATTTTTTAAGATTTTATTGAGAGAGCAAGAACGAGGGAGCACAAGCAGGGGGCAGGGGCAGAGGGAGAGAGAGAAGCAGACTCCCTGAGGAGGGAGCCCGATGTGGGGCTTCATCCCAGAACCCTGAGATCATGACCTGAGCCAAAGGCAGATGCTTAACTGACTGAGCCACCCAGACACCCCTCTTTAAAGATGTTTTAAATGGGTGTTAATATACAGTGAGACCCTAAAGGGGAAAAAAAGAAAAGAAAAGAAAAACATCATTACCCTGTAGAATTCCAGAGAGTGTCAGGTAGAGATGTAGCCCCAACATCTAAAATATAATCCCAAGCCAAACCCCTCAGTCTTATAAGAAACCGATGCCAGGACATTTCTGAAGAGAATAATATAAAAAAATACAATATAGTATATTATATAGTATATATATATATGTATAGTATATACAATATAGTATAGAATGTAGTGTAGAATATCATAGAAAATAGAAAAATACTTTTCTGGTTAGATGGCAAGATCTATGAAAAATGAAGAACCACCACAGAAGTTGGAGATGGCAAGAGTAGGAGACATGAAAAGAAGTAGAGAAGGATGTATCTGAGATGTTAGTGAGGACAAAGGAAGTTAAAAAAAAAAGTTAACTAAATGAACCATGTGTAAGTGATTGAGAAAAGAGAGACCTTGGGAAAACATGGCTAGCTCAGTAGTGGTTTGTGTTGGTGGTTATACATATCTGTCCTAGGAGCCCAGTGTCCTTCTGAACTGTCACACTGGGGACACTTGTGTGTGGTACTGTGTGCCTTCCAAGGTTAATTAACACGTTCAGCCTGTGTTCTGTCTGTTGGTTCTCAAACACTGCCTATAATATGCCTGTTTCTCTTTGTTCCTATAGGTATTAATCTTGAAATATACAATGTTTATTAAGATTTATTTATTTTAGGGGCACCTGGGTGGCTCAGTGGGTTAAAGCCTCTGCCTTCGGCTCAGGTCATGGTCTCAGGGTCCTGGGATCGAGCCCCGCATCGGGTTCTCTCTGCTCGGCAGGGAGCCTGCTTCCCCGTCTCTCTCTGCCTGCCTCTCTGCCTACTTGTGATTTCTGTCAAATAAATAAATAAAATCTTTAAAAAAAAAAAAGATTTATTTATTTTAGAGCATGCACGAGCACGGGCAGGGGGCAGGGAGAGGTTCTCAAGCAGACTCCGCGCTGAACGTGGAGCCCATCGTAGGGCTTGATCCCATGACCCTGAGATCACGACTGAACCGAAACCAGGAGTTGGATGCTTAACTGATTGCACCACCCAGGCGTCCCTTAAAATAGTCAGTGTTTTTAAAATGTGGAAGACTGGGGCACCTGGGTGGCTCAGTGGGTTAAGCCTCTGCCTTTGCCTCAGGTCATGGTCTCAGGGTCCTGGGATCGAGCCCCACATCGGGCTCTCTGCTCAGCAGAGAGCCTGCTTCCCTTCCTCTCTCTCTCTCTGCCTGCCTCTCTGCCTACTTGTGATCTCTGTCTGTCCAATAACTAAATAAAATCTTAAAAATAAATAAATAAATAAATAAAAATAAAATGTGGAAGACTGTAGAACATTGATCAAAATGCAGTTTGCATTTCTAGTTGAGGTATAGCCCTCGGGTATCAAGAAGACTTGACTTCCTGTACCAGAATTTGCTTACCATGTTTTCACAGCACACAGCACAGCCTATTTTTAGTGAGTTAATAAATATTTGCTTCTGAATATAGCTGGTATATATTAAAATACTATTTTCTTATCTTAATAAGTGGGTTGAGTATGAACCCTGTAGACTTGTTCCGAGAAGAGCCTTCTTTCTTTGGAGATAGCACAAAAGTAAATTTTAAAAAGTCCTTTTATTAAAAAAATGAGAACCCAATTCCCTTATTTTACAAATGGGGAAAACGGAGGCCCAGGACTGCTTAAGATTTGAAGACTGGATCCTGGGAGACCAGGATCCCAACGTCTGGGCATTTTTCCCACTTGTACTTTAAGGTAGATCCTAAATACATGCCAGTCAAACGAGAGGTAGCTGAACCAGTAAGATTTGCTTTATGTGTTAAGGCACATGCTTCCCGGTTCGTCATGTACTATGCGCTTGAAATTGTATTTGTTGTTATGTTTAAAAAAAAAACAGAAGGGGCGCCTGGCTGGCTCAGTCGGAAGAGCGTGAGACTTGATCTCAGGGTCTTGAGGTTTGAGTCCTGGGATAGGTGTAGAGATGACTGAAAAAACAAACTTAAAAGGATTTTAAATAAAAAACAAATAGAAATGTTTTAGGGAGAGGTGTGTGTTAATATTTACTTCTGATATCTATGTCCCCTTAACACTATGATCTATAAAACATTCTTGCATCTCTAGCAATTGCTTTCAATTTGTGGATTTTTGCCTCTTAAATATGCTCTCAAAACTTTAATTAGGAATGTGTCTAGTTAGTATCTTAGAAACTAGCAGCTGTCTACAATAACAGTGGAAAGGTAAACAACCAAAATAGAAGTCATTTAGAAGCAGGAGTGTGGGCAGCATTTGTCCTTCTGCACGCTTGCGCCTTGCCCATGAATGTACACGCGTCTTTTCTAGCCTACTGACAGATTGATTCCAGAAGTTCCAGCTCGCTGTCTGGGATTTGGAATGCATTTTCCTGTCTTCCCCAGGACGGTTGGGTTACCAGAAGCCCATTAAAGTCAGTCTAACTGGATGCATTCCGCATCCTGGCTGGAGACTGATAGGGACGAGAGGGACCCTTGCCCCGTTCGCTTGCACCGTATACTTGGACTTGCTGTATCTGCGGCGGAGGTCAGGACATAGGCCGGTGGTAACGCCTTAGGCTGGGGAAGTAGGGGAGAAGATGGAAGGGAGAGCAGAGATGTTTTTATATAGCGAGAAGGGCCCAAGTGTGGGATTCCAGCTGCTTGAGTGGGTTTGCGAGGATGGAGTTAGGCAGAGCAGAGATGGGACAGGCTGAGGGCTTGAAGCTTTTGCTTATGGAAATCCTGTGGGGGTGGAAAAGTTGTAGTCCCTTTTGCTGACAGGAGGACAAAGACTTAAGGCTGGGGATGGGACGTTCTGAGGAAGGGCAGAGGTTTGTGGGATGGAGTCCTGTCAGCTCAGGGTTGCCTGTATTCCTAAAATTCGCATGTACCTAGAAACCCTGATAGAGAGCGTCCCAGGTAATTAGGTGTATGTGGGTTTTTCACCTTTTTGGAAGGTATTTTGGCAAGATTACTCATAATTAAACGTGCACATATTCTTCAACTCAGAAATTCTGCTAGGAGTTTATCCTACAGGGGAATTCAAATGTGTGCCTAGAAACCTGTCCTTGGAGGTCTGTCAGAGCCGAAAGCCCCAAAACAGCATAAACGTCTACCCCTGAGGGACTGGTTGGGTCCCTGCTGTTGCTGCGTTGGTGTGGAACAGCGCCACTGGCCTGAGAACTTGGGAACTAGATCTAGGGAGAGACAGGAGGAGGCCACTGAAAGGTCAGTGAGAAAAAGCAGCACAGAGGGGCGTCTGGAAGGACAGCCAGGCCCCTTGGGGGTTTAGGTGAGGATGGAGCCATAATACGTGTCTGAAAACTCTAGAATTTTGACAAATTGTCCATGTTCCTTTCCGTTTGAAAACTTCTATTAAAATGACAAGACATTTTATAATTATAAATAAATGTATTTAAAATTTTTGGGTAAAATTCATATAATGAGGTTTTATTTATTTATTATTTTTGTCAAGGTGTTGCAGAAGAGAAAGTGTATTTTATTTTTGGGATTTTTTTACTAATAGAGACTAGACTAATCCTTTGGGTGATGAGATCTTTTTGAGATCATACAGAAATCTAATTTGTTTTGTTTTGTTTTTATTGTGTTATGTTAGTCACCATAAAATACATCATTAGTTTTTGATGCAGTGTTCCAAGATTCATAGTTTAGGTATAACACCCAGTGCTTCATGCAATACATGCCCTCCTTAATACCCACCACCAGGCTCAGCCATTCCCCCCATCCCCTCCCCTCTAAAACCCTCAGTTTGTTTCTCAGAGTCCACAGTCTCTCATGGTTCATCTTTCCCTCCAATTTCCCCCAATTCACTTTTTCTTTCCTTCTCCTAATGTTCTCCATTCTATTCCTTATGCTCCACAAGTAAATGAAACCATATGAGAATTGACTTTCTCTGCTTGACTTATTTCACTCAGCATAATCTCCTCCAGTCCCATCCATGTTGATACAGAAGTTGGGTATTCATCCTTTCTGATGGCTGCGTAATATTCCATTGTACATATGGACCACATCTTCTTTATCCATTTGTCTGTTCAAGGGCATCTCAGCTCTTTCCACAGTTTGGCTATTGTGGCCAGTGCTGCTATAAACATTGAGGGCATATAATGAGGTTTTAAATGAGGCCTTTTCTTTGGCCACAGGGGAACATCTCCCCCGCCCGCTGCTGCCCCCTGCCCCATGGTTTTTTTTTTTTTTTTAAAGATTTTGTTTATTTATTTGTCAGAGAGAGAGAGAGAGCAAGCACAGGCAGACAGAGTGGCAGGCAGAGGCAGAGGGAGAAGCAGGCTCCCTGCTGAGCAAGGAGCCCGATGCGGGACTCGATCCCAGGACGCTGGGATCATGATCTGAGCCGAAGGCAGCTGCTTAACCAACTGAGCCACCCAGGCGTCCCTGCCCCATGGTTTTTAAGATGTAGTAGTAGACAGCTTGAGAGTATGTGAATTCTTCTCACACTGAAGGTAGTAAGAGGCCAAGCCTATGTTTTGCTTCTTTTTTTTCAGGTCCCGGCCTGTGATTAATATTCAGAAAACGGTCACTGTGACACCAAGCACAATTGATCTCCGCCAGAAAATGTTCTGCGGGGCACCTAGCGGGATATGGTGAGAGCTCCCACTGTATGCACGGAACCCCCTCACTTTCATATGTTTGCTTTAGGGGGACCCTATTGCTCTGAGGAGCCATGGGCAACAGTGGGACAGAAATGAGCAAGGGGACAAGGAATCTGTCAAATGAACATAGAACATTTTACTCATCAGTGGGCAGTGGGGGGATTCGAGACCTGGGGACCATGGGTTTTTGTTTCTCTCTACTGCAGCGATGCATCTTTTAAGGAATATGTGTTTGATTTTATATAGCCTCAAGGTGAAGGCCTGTTTTGAATACACTGCCAAACCCACAGGTTACAATCCTTCGATAAGTAAGTACCTAGTACCTTTAAAAATTATATATGTTCTGTCCACCAGGTTGAAAGTAATGCATAAGTAACAGAAAAATAAAACTGCTGTGGCCAACGTTGGTTTATAAATTCTTGTATGAGGCATTCAGTGGCTCTGCTGTCTTCTCTTTAATCAGGAGGGCGAAGTGCAGGAGGGGAAAAGTTTCCATTTGGTCCTCATTTGAATTTTCCAGAGCAGATGGTTTAGGACAGCAGGACTTGGCAAAATACTCATTTGCTACCACAACTGTTTTCTCCATTTCTGCCTTTGAAGAGCAACATGGAAAATTGGTTTTGCGGTTGTGAGGTGGTGGGTGGTGGTTGTAGATGAGTCCCAGAGCCCAAGCTTTGTGCAGAATTGTTGGGTTAGCCTCTCCTTGTTGCGTCGTCCCCTCCGGGCGGCCTCCGTGGCCCAGGACACCCACGCCACACCCCTGCGGGCGGGCTCCTTGGGGACCGGAAGGCTGGTCTTGGGAATTCAGAGCCCGGGGCTCTGCTCCGGGCTGTAGCTCCGAGGCCGGCTCACCCCGCAGCACAGCAGAGACATTGGAGTCTCCATTTTCCTATCAGAAATAAAAATGTCTCTAGTAGGAATTCCTACATAGGATTGTGGTGGAGAGCAAAGGAGATACTCTGGTGAAAGCCATCTGTCATTTATAAGGTATTATGTGGCTTCCTTTCTTTATAATCCAAACCGGCTTTTTGGCCACACATTTAGACAAGGCTAATGACACTCTAACGGTGGTGATCGTCCTCAAAGCCTTCCACGGTAGGTTTTAGTAAGAGCTAAACGCTTTCAGGTGTAAGCAATCTGCTCCAGCTCCAGAGTGAAGATGGGGACATGGGAATTTAAAGAAAAGTTTTTCCCCAAGAAGCAGGTACAAAGAGTGAGGGTGATCGGATGGTCCTGGCGGCCCCATGTGATGGCTGGCGTTGCATGCCACCAACGGAAGCCTTCTGCGGGGATAGGGTGGTCTGCAGTTTTTATTTTACCTTGACGTAATGAGTTTTCTTAAGTTTCCTTCTTGTTATGTAAAGTACTACTCTGTTTTCTTTATTAAAAAGATATCGCTTTTCATACTTCAGAATTTGGCAAATAAGTCTGTCTTCCCCCAGTTCACCCTGTCATGGGCACCCTTTTCCTGTTTTAAGCCTCCATCTTCCCCTATTTTAAGCCATCCTCAGGCAGTTGCTTTGCCTCCCTGAGCTTTTTGGGCCCATCTGCAGGGCTGTCTCCTGCTGTAGCCTCTCCCAGGATCTACCTACCTTGTGGGATATGTGCTTGGTGTTGCTGTATCACGGTTTGTGCACAGGGCCATGGTGGCCTCTCACTTGGCCTTTTGATGTGGCTGGTATTTCACTGAGTACTGGAAACAATTCTTGAGGTGGCTTTCATTGAGAAGAAAATGTCTTCTAGGATTTCTCACACTCTGTTATCCTATTAGTATATTTTGTGTTATTTTTACCCAGACACCATACCTTACACTTGCCTGTTTGGATAATGGGTGTTTGACCACTGTGTTTCAAGTAGACTAGAGAGACAAGGAGAAATTGTGATTCTTTGACTAGGTGAGGAGAGGAAATGGGGAAACATTTTTATTCTTTGAGTCTGTCATTTACCCACACCACTCTGACCGTAGATGTGATGAAATCTCATCAGAGCCGTCCTTGTCTTCCCCTACATCAATCATTTCCATAAAATTACAGATGTTGTTCTAGCTTTCACGTAGCATTTGATGCCCTGTGTTTTAATTTCATGTTCAGTAGCCACACCATTAACCAAGTGTTTAACGACTCTGTTAGCTGAGTGTTTACTGATGGGCTATCATGAATAGAACTTTTTTTCTGTGAAGACATTTAGAGGGACCCTGTATTTCCTTGCCTGTACTTCCACAGCACTGGGAAATTCTACATCAGGTAGGACTTCCACCAAGCTGCATAAGTGAATCCATCTAAAATCCGTTCCCGATGCCTGAGAATGTGAGCTTGTTGTTTGATCAGGCCCTTTTAACTCGGTGGTCCTCGGTTGTGGTGTTGTCTACAGACAGATATTTATAATTGAGCCTTAATGAGTATTCTACTGGCTTGCCCCTTGAAAGGTCAGCAAAGGCGGCCTGCAAGGATTTTAAGATAACGTGAACTGTCTGGGGGGTCAGGGAAGGTTAGAGTGGGCTTGGTAGATAAAGGGTTTTAACACACCCACACCCTCCCCTGCTTTTGCCGTGAGGGGCACTCAGCACTGAGCCTTGGTCGGGTTCACTGTGGAGTTAACAGGTCGTTGATAAATGGATGATGTCAAGGCTACAAGGCTAAAATGGAGGCACATTCCATTTGGCAGAAATTACTACTGAAACTGTCAGTGTTTCTAAATTTTGGTCTTGCTGTAGCTCAGTAGCTGTTGTTTTGGTATAAGGATAACATTCTGTGGTCTGTGTGCATGTCTCTATGTGCATGGGTGGGTATGTGGGTGTGGTGCAGTCCCTCCCACTTCCATTCAGCTGTTCTAAAATCATACTTATGGCAGGCATTGTCCCATCGCCGGGGAACACAGTGGCGAGCAGACTGATGGGGTCCTTGTCCAGACCTTTGCCTGGGGAAGATGGTTGGGCAGTCCCAGTGGCTAAGTGTAGTGAGTGGGGAAATAGAATACTGTCCAATCCTCCCCGGAGAGGTCAGCGGCGTCCCCCCCGAGGAAGTGATGTCTACACTGAGATCTGAAGAAGGAGTGAGTTAGGCAGTCGGGGGGAGGTAGAGAGGACCAGGGCCCTGCTGGCGGAGGAAGAGAGTGCCCCAAGCAGAGGCCCGGAGGAAGTGGAAACCTGGACATCCAAGAGGCTTCGTAAAGCAGTTGTCTTGTGTGTTTGTGACAGAGACTTTGAAGCTGGTGCCGCCCCTGTCCTTCTCTGTGTGATCCTGGGCCAGGCCTCTAGCTCTGTGGGCATCCATTCCTCACCTGCAAGAAGAGGGTGTTAAAATAGATGCTCTTTAAGGCCTCTTCTGAAGTCCACCGTGAATATTAGAACATGGGTGGTTCATTTTCTGTGTTTTCTGGAGAAAGTTTTTTTTTTTTCCCTTGAAGCTGCCTTCTCTGGCCCTATACGCACTTTGGTTTGCTTCCCCTTCTGGTGGTTATTGAGTGATTGATGAATGAATGTAAGTAATTTAAATGTTACCCCATAAAGAAACATAGTGACTACATCCAGCAAAGAATGCATTCTAAAGCCGAGAAATGAGATTTTGATCATCCAAATCCTGGCTTGCCTCCGAGCTCCATTAGTAGAGGTCATCAAGAACAGGAGGTGTCTTCTAGGCCTTTGGAGGTCGGAAACTTTGGTGTGGGAGACATGGTAGCTGGCAAATGGGTCCTCTAGCCTCGAAAAGGAATGTGTTTTACCTTTCAGTTCTTTTAAGTGAGAAGTCTCCGCCTGTTGTCAAAAGACTTCTCTATCTCTCCTATGTATTATTCCTGTTTCAGACAACTGTCTGTTATCCGTGCTTCTTAAACTTTAATGGGTCTAAGACCCACCTGATGGTCCTGTTAAAATGCAGATTCTGGTTAAGTAGGTCTGGCTGGGGCTTGAGGTTCTCACTGTCCAGGAGATGCGAGGAGAAACTGCCGCTGCTCTCCAGGTGTGGGGCCCTGTCAGGGACAGCCTGCTGGATGCGAGTCAGTGCAGGCCTTTCAGGAGTGCTGGGTGCCCATTCTCTTTAGTGCTCTGAGTGCCTGATGTGGAACCAGAAATCCTTGGATGCCGCTCAGAGGTTCTGACTTATTCTTGGGCTCCCCCAGGTGGCCCAATGGAAATTTAACTTCACAAACTCTTGACGGCAGCGGGCAGGAAAGGACAACTTGATCTGAAAGGCCGTAACGCAGGCAAAATGTACATTACCAGGAAATGTGATCAGCAAGAAGGGCAGTGGGAGACATTCTATGAGGGATTAAAATAACATCAAAGGGAACTCACTGTCCTTACAGCTGAACTGTATGTGGGTATACTCTGAGTTCAGAGGCTTTTGTTCATTGTATCTAGCCATTTTGGGCACGCTCGAGGCTGAAAAGGAGAGAAGGAAATCTGGGCTGTCATCAAGAGTTCACTTTCGAAACCAAGGCTCTGAGGCCAAGTATACGGAAGAGCTCACTTTGACCAGGCAGAAGCAGAAGGCGTGCATAGAGGAGACCCTCTGGCTCCAGGTGAGGGCGGCCCTGCTCAGGCCGGTCATTACAGGGGGCTGAGATGGGTTCTGTGGTGGCCTAGGGAGATCTCTGAACCTGACACCAGCGACCTCTCATTCAGGACTGTTGGGAGCTCCCCAGGAGTGTTGATACCATACTCTGCACACTTTTCAGGAAAATATCCGAGATAAACTGCGTCCCATTCCCATAAGTGCTTCGGTAGAGATCCAAGAGCCAAACACGCGGAGGAGAGTGAATTCACTTCCGGAAGTTCTTCCCATTCTGAATTCAAACGAACCCAAGACGGTTCACAGAGATGTAAGTCTTCTGACTTGGGTGTTGCCAAAGCTTCTGCTGTATTATGCTGCTAAATCATGTGTCTTTGAAGGGGGAGGACTAGTGATTTGCTTTTTAAAAGTCTCTTCCTTTGTATCAAGTAAGCTTTTTAATATACAGAAATTTTGAGATTCGTTTCTCAACTTAACAGTGAATATAGAAACATGTGGAATACAGTTTGGAGCTAGAGTATTGTTCTTAATAACTTTTGGCCACTGCGCCTTACTGCGACTATAACTGGCAGAACTCATTCTCACATCCAGTTTCTCCTCTGGCCGTATGGAGAAAAATACAGCGCTCTGTATTTTTGAGGACAGTGCTCTGTACCATTGAGGACATTAAAATGTAGAAAATAAACTTGTTAGTCCGGACGTTAAAATCAAGGAATATGAAATTCAGCAAGGCCATGAAATAGTAACTTCATGGCTAAAGTAGCCTGTGTAGTCTTAGGAAGACCATTTCTGTGACACGGCCTGCTGTATGCCTCCTACGAGGGGGACCTATATGCTGGGGTTTAAGGTGGCTGAGGTGTGAGAAAGGGCGGGGGAGCTGTGGCGTCTGGATTTGGCGTTGTGCACCTGCCGTCAAAATCCAGCCGGTGCCACAGCGTCCACCGTGTGGCTCTTGGTTCTGGTGGCCCCCTGACAAAGCCTCTCAGAAGCGAGTACTTGCTGGTTCAGACCTAGGACATGGTGCCTCAGTCTGCACACTGTCTTTATCGTCACAAAGTGTAGTTCCTTGTACTTTTGCATACTTTTTCATAGACTTTGGATGTTACTGCTTCTCACATGACTGTTTCTTGTGGATGTTCCCAGCTCTGTAGTCATGTTGAATACAACAAGCAAGGAGACGGTTTTCCCACTATTTATTTATCAGTGTGATTGTGAAGCACCCATTAGCGCTGTGCCATTTGTTTTCTTCACCTCAGACTGTTTCCTCTTCTGTTCAACAGAGCCCATGACCGTATCCTCATGGTCTGTTGTGAGGATTAATGGAGTTAAAATAAGTAATCACACGTGTTAGGTAGCATCATCACTACTACTGGCACTTCTTACATTATCCCTAAAAAGTCGGCCGGTGGCATCCACATATCACCAGGGACATCCCTTGGAGTCTGAAAGGTTAAGTGACTTGCCCAGAGCCCCACGGCTAAGTGCGTGGCAGAGCCAGTTTGGAAGGCGGAGCTGTGTGGCTGCTGGGCTCATGCTCGTCACTACACCTCAGGGGCCTGGTCAGCGTGTTCTTACAGCACCGCTCTGTTCAAGGACAGAGTTTAAAGACGGTTCCCTGAAAGGCACTGGGTGCACAGCTGAGTATAGTTGAAGCTTCTGCTTTGGTAATTTTCGCACAGGGACAGGGGTGTATGGAAACAGCCAGTCACTGTTGCAGTCCCCAACGGCAAGAACTGTGATGGTTTTGTTTTCACCAGAGAGAGACAAACCCTAAGAGACTCTAATCTTCAGAAACAAACTGACGGTTGCTGGAGGGGTGGTGGGTGGAGGGATCGGGTAACTGGGTGATGGACATTAAGGAGGGCACGTGATGTAAGGAGCACTGGGTGTTCTGTAAGACTGATGAATCACAGACCTGTACTTCTGAAACAAATAATACATTATATGTCACTTAATTTGAATTTACATTAAAAAATTAAAAATAATTTCCAAAACAAAACAACAATGGTTTTGTTCTCCTACAGGTGCACTTCTTAAAAGAGGGATGTGGAGACGACAATGTATGTAACAGCAACCTTAAACTAGAATATAAGTTTTGTACCCGAGAAGGAAATCAAGACAAATTTTCTTATTTACCAATGTAAGAATCACTCTGTCATCCTGGCAAAAATGACTGACTTTGCAGTGGGTTACTGAAAACATCCTGAGGTCTTTGTCATTTTTGTTTTTGTGCGTATGTGTATGTGTTTTATAGTCAAAAAGGTGTACCAGAACTAGTTCTAAAAGACCAGAAGGACATTGCTTTGGAAATAACCGTGACCAACAGCCCTTCCGATCCGAGGGACCCCGCAAAAGACGGAGACGACGCTCACGAAGCAAAGCTTGTGGCCACTTTCCCTGACACTCTGACTTACTCGGCATACCGAGAACTGCGGGCTTTCCCTGTAAGTGGTTTCACAGCCGCTGGGAGCAAACAACCCAGCCGGGGGGGGGGGGGGGGGACTCAGGGTGTCGAGGGGGGGCAAGCATGGAGGGTAATCTCCTGTTTTTCTGTTACAGGAGAAGCAGCTGAGTTGTGTTGCCAATCAAAATGGCTCGCAAGCGGACTGTGAGCTTGGAAATCCTTTCAAAAGAAATTCCAGTGTAGGTGATGCCTTCCCATCCCACATTGTGCCATGTCTGGTGCCATTACAGGGTCGACACGCTTGGTCTGTGTTAATGTCTGTTTCTGTTTTTCAGGTGACTTTTTATTTGATTTTAAGCACAACCGAGGTCACCTTTGACACCACGGATCTGGATATTAATCTGAAGTTGGAAACGTAAGAATTGCTTCAGCCTTTCCATTCAGAATTATTTCATGAAAACACAGCCCGTTATGAATTGGCTCTGCTTTTGACTCATAAAAGGAGTGTAATTGTAATGAGAAAACTGACTGTTAAAATGAAACCCTATTGTTTCCTTTTCATTTTCAGAACAAGCAATCAAGATAATTTGGCTTCAATTACAGCTACAGCAAAAGTGGTTATTGAACTGCTTTTATCGGTCTCTGGGTAAGTGTTTGTGTTTAGCATAACAAATCAGTGTTTAAAAGAACCGTTTACAATCCTCACTAAAACTGGTGTTTTTTTAATTTAACAGAGTTGCCAAACCTTCCCAGGTGTATTTTGGAGGTACAGTTGTTGGTGAGCAAGCAATGAAGTCTGAAGACGAGGTGGGAAGTTTAATAGAGTATGAGTTCAGGGTAAGTTTCAGCAGTTAGTCTTTTTTATTCTATATATCAAAGGCGAACATCTACTGTATATGTTAATATATGTAATGTAATTTTAATGTGGATATGTAGCTTTAATATGTAATAGCAACATTAATAAAAATAAATAAGCATGATAAATCCTCAGTTAAAAGTGAGTTCACCAATGTTTATGTCACATACCAGCTTACAGTAGAAGTTTTGTCCTTCAGAATGGAGAACACAACTATCATTCGACATGGGACTTGTTCAAAATCCAGTTTAGTTTTCGTGTATAAGCAATGTAGGGACAAAGGAATACCCCGCCCCCTCTCTCTCCCCAGAGTCTGTCTGTAACACACAAATCTCAAAATAGTTGATATCTGGGTGTTGGGATTTCTTTAGACCGTGTTGGGATTTCTTTCTTCCGTTGTGAGGTCCTCTCTCTTACGGCACGTGGTTTATGTTCCCTCACATTTTACAAGGCCGGTGCTGGTGAGGAACACTCCTGCTTGCTCTGAAGCATTTCTAAGCAAGAATCACAGCGACTCTCAGTCCGGTTGGGTGGACAGGAGGGCATGGTGCGGAGGGGGCTCGTGACTCATCTGTGGGTTTGGGTCTGCGTGGCTCAAATCAGCCTAGACAGCACAGTGGCCGTGGTCTGAGATGGCAAGAATGTGCCCACCCCTGACTCCAGCAGGATGGGGGGCTGAGTTCTGCTCAGGGTCTCTCTCAGCATTGTAGACACAGCTGGGATAGGTGGTGGCAGCGGAGGTGAGGACGCCTGCATGGTTATGGCTGACATAGGCGGCCCTGGGTGCCACAGCGGTCCTGCCCCACACACAGAGCTCACTCCTCATTTGGCTTCTGCTTAGGAAGCTGTTCTGTTCCCGGCTTGAACTCCTGCCTTTGTAGTGGTTTTATTCCTGCTCTCGGTTGCTACCCAACCCCCCTCCCCTGCCCTCCCTTGTGGTAGTGGACTGAGGTGGCTTCATTTTGGCATAAGGAGGGGCTTCCTAGAAGCAGGTTGCTGGCGCGCTGCCACCGGCCACACTCCTCTGCAGGGCCTGGGAGGTTATAGAGCGACTCCCAGACCCCTGTGACCTTCCCTGTCGGGAGCATGGCATATCAAACAAGGCAGATTCTCTTGCTCACAGGAGTTGCTGGGTTGAAGGAGCAGTCCTCTGTCTCTGACCTTTCCTAGGCCTGCATCTCTGCTGTGGGCGCCGGGCTCTCTGCAGTCCAGCTCTGGAGCCTGTACTTTTCATCGTAGGGTCATGCTTTTTCTTCCTGGCCGCAGGAGTGGCTACTTAATTTTAGAGTGAGAGAATTACATGGGGATATAATACGTGTTATTTTCTTACAGGTAATTAACTTGGGGAAACCTCTTAAAAACCTTGGCACGGCAACTTTGAACATCCAGTGGCCAAAAGAAATTAGCAACGGCAAATGGTTGCTTTATTTAGTGAAAGTAGAATCCAAAGGATTGGAAAAGATTGCTTGTGAGCCACGAAATGAAATAAACTTCCTGAACCTAAAGGTACATCGATTTACCCTTCATCTCTGTAGCGCATATAAGGAAAGCAAACTTCTGTGGGGGAAAAAATCCTTAATTTCCTGAGGAAAAGTGACATAGTGGTGTGCTGACTTCTTCTCTGGTGTCACATCTTCTGTCATAGTTGAATAACCAAGTCAGGCTGAGGATTTCTGCTGATCAGCTGCCATGATGGCACATCAGTCTGACCCAGGGCTTGTTGAAGGAAATGATGTTTCTGGAGTTTTAGACCCAGTATGACCTATAAACAGGACTGGGATGTGCGTCTGGGGTGGGCCAGTCAGTGTTCACCCCCCATAGAACCAAACTCATTATAGAAGAGATTGGCATGTTAGTTAGCAAGAAACCTTCAAAGCTTTCATTCTTACTTATTTTTTAAAAAGATTTATTTATGAGAGGGAGAGAGAGAGCAAGTACACAGAGGGAGCAGGAGAAGCACACTCCCCGCTGAGCAGGGAGCCGACATGGGGCTCGATCCCAGGGCCCCAGGATCATGACCTGAGCCAAAGGCAGACACTCAACTGACTGAGCCACCCAGGTGTCCCTCATTCTTATTTTTTAAAATAGTAAATATTTATCAAGTGTTGATTGTGTCTCAGGCACTGTGCTAAAATAAACATTTTATTTGCTTTTTCTCATTTCATCCCCTTGATAGTCCTTTGAGGTATTTTTTCTTATTCCTACCATTTCACAGATCAGAGAAGAGAGATTCAGAGAGATTAACGTTTTAAGAATCACTCAGCCGTTATGAGGCTGATTCTGCATCCGAGCTCTGCTCTGTTTTCAAAGCCTATACTCGTGACTGCATGTGCTGCTGCACGCTGACAGTCCTGGTTTACCGTATGCTCCAGTGTGACCATCTGCTTCCTTACCGTGTGTCTGTTTCTTTTCTTCTGTTTTTAATCCTTGTGTTGAGGGCTGACTTTCAGTAGATCGCAGTGAGGGAGCTCCTCTGTTTAAGTGACGGTGAGCTCCGTGTTCACTGTTGGCAGCTTCTAGAAGGATCTTCTGTTCATCATCTGAAAAACGAGATGGTCCGTGACTCTTAATCCATCTTAAGGAAAATGCTATCTTAAAACTCCTTATGTGGATTGGTTTTCAGGACTCTACTCTGAATAAGTCACATACCAGTTCTTTTGCTTTTTTCCGTTTGTCGGTGTCATTTATTTATTCAAGATGTGCTGACTTTTTACCATGCGTTAGTTACCAAGCTGGGCACTAGGGACGTAGGGATGAGATTTGATGCCTGGTCTCAGGCTGCTCAGTTTGGTGAGGAGACAGAAGAGCAAAGAAAGCCTGCTTTCTCTTCGCCTGAGTTTTAAAGTCAGAGTGAAAATAAACTACTTCAGTCAATGAACTTGCAACGAGATTGGAACATGTGTAGATTTTACACTTATTTCTGTGGCTTTGGTGACAGGAGATGGGGAACTATTAATTGTTGATGATGTGAGTTTGGCCTCATTTGGGAGGGTGCCCAAGAGGTCTAAGCAGTAGTGACTGTTACATTCAGTAGAACTGTTTTGGATATAATTTCTTTTCAGGAGTCTCACAACTCAAGAAGAAAACGGGAAATTGCTGAAAAACAGATAGATGATAGCCGAAAATTTTCGTTATTTGCTGAAAGAAAATATCAAACCCTTGTAAGTATTTTTCAATAACCGTGACTATTGGACAAGATCGTGGCAGGAAGGTCTTCCCCATAGTGTTGGATTTTATTTTATTTTAATTTTTTGTTTTACTTTTGTTTTTAAAGATTTTATTTATTTATTTGACAGAGACACAACAAGAGAGGGAACACAAGCAGGGGGAGTGGGAGAGGGAGAAGCACTCTCCCTGGTAAGCAGGGAGCCTGATGCGGGGCTCGATCCCAGAACCCTGGGATCATGACCTGAGCCGAAGGCAGGCACTTAACGACTGAGCCACCTGGGCCCCCAGTCTGTTGGATTTTAACTACCATCCTTTTCTCTCCAGAACTGCAGCACGAACGTGAAGTGCGTGAACATCAGCTGCCCGCTGCGAGGGCTGGACAGCAAGGCTTCTGTTGTTCTGCGCTCAAGGTTATGGAACAGCACGTTTCTAGAGGTTTGGCCCTGCCATGAGGCTGTCCCCTGGAAATCATTTGCCATCTCTTAGAACGTTTCTCACTTCCTTGACGCATTTGCTAACTTTGTCTCCGAACAGGAATATTCCAAAATGAACTACTTGGACATTCTCGTGCGGGCTTCCATCGATGTGGCCGCCACTGCTGAGAACATCAAGCTGCCAAACGCAGGCACTCAGGTGAGCGGCTTCCCCACCTTCACACAGCTCAGAGCCCGGCAGGCCGCCTCCACCGGGCGCCCACAGCCTGAGGACACGCCATGTGGGCATTCTTTCCCCCACGCCACTGTGACTCCCAGTCGGGAGAAGTCCGACCATGCCTGAAGGGGCTACCACTCCACGCTGCACTGTAACAGAATCACTGGGAAAAGAAGTGCGCGTAGGGCCTCCAGTTCTGCAGGGCACATGGTAGATTTGAGAGCTGCTGGGCCCGTGAAAGAAAGGGTGCACCTCCCACCTCTGTAGAAGCCCCAGGTTTTCTGCTGTCCCTGATGCCATAGCCACTGTTGCAGTGTCCCCAGGGATGGAAACCACCACTTTATGGAGTTGCTCATGGCATGTGTGGCCAGCTATAGTTAGTAGAAAAGATCTCTTTCTATATGAACGCAGGGTTGAATATTAAAAAGTCAGTTCCTGGATATGCCCCTTGGGATAAACCCCAAATAAGTTCTCTTTCTCAGCCACGTAGTAGCCTTTGGAATAACGGAAGGAAACTGGCATGGCCCTGGGATGGGTCTCTCATTCTATTCAGAGCAAAGCCTCCAGCCCTTCAGGTACCCGTCAGGCCAGGTGCTCTCCTTCCTGGGCTGGCCCTAGTTGGGCAGTGTTACTCCTGGGTGGGCAGAGCACGGATGCATGATCTGCCTAGTTTGGCTCGCCCTGAGGTCCTTCCCTCCAGACACAGCGGCTCCACACTGCTCTCAGGCAGCCTAAGACTTGGTTTTTCCAGTGTACACAGAAGATTGTGTTTGTACTTCCAGCAGCTGTGTTTCTGTTCTGCTGAAATTTGCAAGTGTTTTCAACAGGATGTGTTGTCAAGCGATAGCTCCCATATCCCATCCTTGAGCAATTTTTAAAAATTCTAAATGCATGCCTTTAAATGTAAACCTCACATTTTGGGTGGATTGTTTGTGGCCCATTGTTTCAGTTCACAAAGTAGTGCTGAGTCTTGACCATTTGCCCTCTCTGAGCTTTCTTCTGCTGCGAGCTTTATCATTTTCAAAGCTGAGAAGCACAGCTTCTCTGTCCTCATCCAGGCAGTTGAGAAAATACTGACCAGAACTGGGACCAGTGGTGGTGGGGGCACACTGGGAAGGGTTCCTTGTTGGGGGTGGTCTGGAGCCCAAAGGGCCTTGTGTCATGCTCTTGAGATCCAATGCCTGCATGTCATGTGCCAGAATATTTTGCAAAAGAGACTGAATGGAGAGAAAGGTGGTCACTTACTGTTCTCCAGCTGATCTCCTGATGTCCCTATGGACGTGCTCTGGCTTCGGACATTGAGCTGGCTGAAAGTGCAGTGAGCCTCCTGAGCACTGGTTCCTGAAGACAGCGATCCCTGGCTGTTCAAATCTATCATCCACACCTGAAGACATTTGTCTGGAGCAAATGCTAACCTGGGCGGGATGCTGGGACAAGGGTTAAAAATCAGGACCGGTCCAGACTTAACCATGACATCTGGTCACCTAGCCTTAGATGCTCTCTGCCTGCTACTCCAGCCCACCTCCCCGCCTCTTACCAATAAGGCATCATAAGGGATCGTCACCCAAGCCAGAGCCTCCCTGAGAAGCTCTTCTCTGCCCCTCTGACTTAGGCAGTGGTCATAGTGTTCTGTAACTTGAAACTGACAACCTGGAGAATCACTGGGTATTTAAGAGCTGGAAGAACACCACACTCTCAAGAGGGAAGGGACAGGAAGGGACAGACATTAATAGCGCATTAATAAAATGTCTACAGTTTACTGGACTTTTTATCTGTGTGTAGTCATGTAAACCTCAGAATGACGAGGTAGATGGACTCATTTTCCAAAAAAGGAAGCAGGCACAGCATGGGATGCTAGTTTCCTGTATGGAAACCTGTAAATCCGTCTGGTTTCAGGGCTCCTGTTCTTAACTCTGTAAGTCCCCACATCTCAAATTCAGATGAGAAAACAATCCAAGGAAGGTTCTCTCTCCTTCAGGGTCACAGGACTGGCAGACATGTGGAGGGGAGACCAGATGGTGGGCTCCTAAGTCCTCCTCGGGTGCTCTTGTTGGCTGGAAGGTGATGGAACTGGGGTGCTGGTAACCAGTCTAGCGGCTGGGTCACACAGGAAAGTGAGGTTCTCTTGGGCCTTTGATGTTGGGGCTTGGAGAGCTCATGCCTGCTCACAGGAATTGGGATCCCTGCTATGATCCTCCTTGGTTTAATAATTGGTAGGTATGTGAGTGGATTAATGTCTTATATCTAGAGTGCATTTATTTTGAAAAGAGAGACATTTTCTTGCCTCTAGTCTTCTGGTACCTCTTCTATTGACTGATTTCTGAGCGACAACAGCTCCCATGTCCTCCCTACAGGTTTCTTCAGTATTTTAAAGTGTACTTTTTTTGGGCCTAAAGATTTAAGCTTAATTCAAGTGTTACAATGCTTTCCTTTCTTATTCCCTCACTTATTGTGGGTTTCAGTTGTGTCTTTATCTTGGTTCCTCTGTCCTTTCCAGCCGAAGATCATCTTTCTTTGGAGAGAGAAGCGAGGAGGTGGGGTTATTCAGCCTTATCTTTTGGTCTTCATATTAAAACTTCCCCTTGCTCTTACTCTACTCCTGGCTTTAAAAGAGAAGAAAATAACCCTTTTTGTTTCCTTTATAACCCAACCAATTTTAAGAGTTTTGTGTTCACTTCTTAATATGAAAATTTTAACACATTGTTAGAACAAAGTCCAATAGAACTGGTCTCCTAGCTAAACCAGATAAAATGGTTACATTTTAGCCCCAGTGAAATCCATCCAGTTTACAAGCACTTACTAAGGACACACTGTGTGCCTTCCCTGCACAAATGATAGAGAAGCAGAAGTAATAAGATACGCCTTGTGAACTGTTAAGAATTTCATGATTCACGGTGAACCAGGAGATAATTGTTGAATTGAGCTGAGGAAGGAATTGTTTATTGGTTGTATTTCTATATCCCCCACTTCATTCCTAAGGAATTTGGAAAAGAGTATCTGTTTCTGGATGCCAGAGATAAGAGAAAATATGGTAGGTAAAAGACACAGCGTTCTTTAGGGCAATGTGATTTTCTTCTTTCGGCTCTAAATTTGGAGAATTTGAGATATGGATCCTTTTAATAAGATGAGTTTCTGATAAGAGGAACACTCACTAAGGGAATGAGGTCTTTAACATAGTTTTGTGAAAGACATGAAAATACCTTCACGGAGTGATTTCTTACACTGATGTGCAGTAAGAATAGAGGGTATGACGTTAGAGTGATTCAGGGCAACAATTCTGGCGGCGAGCAAGTGAATGAGGGGTAAGCCCTGCTCACTCATGATCGCACTGATTCATCAGCAGAGCTTTGGCCCCATTTCCCCTTCATGGGCACATGACGGATGAGGTTCACATGCATAGGTCATCCCTATGGAAATGCCTAGATTTTAAATCCCCTCCCCCCCAGATTGTTTTTGGAGTTGGGAGTAATTGCTACTCACCTCAACCTGTCACTGTCCATTAACAACAGCTGCCGTGGCAAGATGTGACCAGGCTTCCCAGAGCTCTGGGCACTTGGTCACGGTTGGCCTCCCCTGACCCGATTCTGAGGTTCCATCCCCCTTTATTCCCAGTCCCTGCTGGAGAATGACCATCCTACAGGAACAAAACTTTAGTTGACAGTTTGAGGAAACAAAATCTCAGCTGACTGGCCTTCCTCCCCTTCCTGGACTACAGTGTGGCCTTAAACCCAGCCTGGGTTTGCAGAGCCCATCTGCCCTTTAAGTGTGTGGCTCTGCCCCTGGCTTCAGTCCTCTGTCTTTGATGCCCAGTGAGTTGTTCTAAAAGGCTCCCAAATCTGGTTTGAATGGTAGCCAGACTTGGGGCTAGATCTCCCAGCTGGATTTCCATACACAGTCCCCCCCCCCATCCCCCACCTCATACTTTTGGATTGCTGCCATTTATAGGAATGGTTTTCCCTATTACCAGCCATTTGAAAGGCTCTGGTACACAGTCTGATTATAAAAGCTGATTCCCCTGCCATGGACCATTCTCCGCTCTCCACTTCCAGGTTTAACAGAGCTTAGGCTTAAAAATGAGGATGGCCCTTCCAGGTTGTCCCCTTGCCCCCAGGAAGTACTCTATGCTTCCTTCTACTAGATCGGCAGAATAAGTGATACGGAGCTGGCTCATTAGTGGTTTTGTTTGGGTTCACAGTAGGGAGGCTTACTGATCCCAAGTGCCCTCTTTTATCACTGTTTCCACTGTTCTTCCCATTTCGTGGACGCCCCTGTGCTAGACCTAGTCATCTCAAGAAAGGGTTCTAGGTTAAAGCTGGGGTGCCTGTCGGGGGAAGGGAGGTGAGGGGAAGTGAGCCATGGGGCACCCCTTCCCCAGGGGTAGGGCTGGTTGGCAGTTTGGGCCAAACCTCACTGAGAGCCTAACAGGAAACACAGTAGCTGATAAAGGTGTTAGAGTCAGTAGAACAGGCTGAAAAGGGACTTCTTCGCTCTTAAATGTTCCAAGAAAAGCAGTTCTCTTGCTTCAAAGTATATTCTAAAGTCAGATGAGTTGAGAAGCTGTTTTCTAGTATAAGTAGAAAAGGAAGTATTTTAGTGAAGACTTTGTTAATCAAAGCAGAATGTAGGCAGACATGGAAGCCTTTTTAGGCAGCATCCGGGACTAACAGTACTGGACTGAAACCACTTCTCAGAACTTAATGGCTCGCACTTTTTGTTTATCCTTCACTTTACATTCTCTTAAGTCAGAAATACCAGAAACTTCAAACTGGAAGCTCTCTAATCTATTAGCTTATGAAATCCTATTTGTAGCAAACACCAGGTCTTTCAGGAGCTTTGAAAAATAGTCTCCTGGAATTATGGAAATCCACTAAAGGCACAGAACCGAGTTGTTGCAAATTGCCAGAAGCAACTTTTTAGATTTCTGAATAAACCCCACTTCTGTTTAATTGATATTTGCCAACTATCAAATGTCTAGAGCTTAGGCTTCTCATCAGCTACTGTTTACAGCTTGAAGTCACCTCTGAAAGGGTCTGCTCTGTCCAAATACACTGTCGGAGAGCATGCACCAGGCCGTTTAAGGAAATCCTCTTGTGCCTGACGGTCCTTCATTAGACATCCTAAAGGGAAGTTACCGTGGTATCAGCACTGCAGCTCCGTCCCTGTTTTTATTTTTCACAAGATCTTTAAAGTCCAAGTGAGGAATATAAGTTAATTCTACAAAAAATGGCCCCTTTATTTCCACTACTGAAAACGAAAAGGGAAGGTGATTGTTCTCAACAAGATACCAGGTTATACAGATGAAGCAAGATGGGCTGTATGTTGACGATTGTTGAATCTTGGAGATGAAAAAAAGTGCTTTATTACACAATTACTTTGATTCAATATAAAAGTTTAAAAAAGATGAGTTACCAATAATAATAATAACTTTGTCAAAACACAGTCCAGCATTTTCCAGTTCTGGGAAAAGATCTCACATCAGAAAGGCATCTCGTTCCTCCACAGGCTGCATTGTTCAAAATGTGTCTAGAAGCAGACTTGGAACTATAAACTCCTGGTATTCTCACCTGCCTTACAGTGGCGCTTGCTTTTATGCCCCATAGATTCGTGTGACTGTGTTTCCCTCCAAGACCGTCGCTCAGTATTCAGGAATACCGTGGTGGATTATCCTAGTGGCTATCCTCGCTGGGATCCTGATGCTGGCTCTCTTAGTGTTTATACTATGGAAGGTAAGTCCTATTTGGCATTTGAGTTCTAACGACCTAATTTTTATCTCTTGCTTTTTAAAAGAGTGAATTTACACTGATAGAATCTGTATATTCCTTTGTATTGCTTCCCTTTTCTCAACATTTCATTATGAAACTTTGCAAACGTGAAGCACACTTGAGAATTTTATGATGAAGACCTGTATATTTCCTCATACCTGAAATTCAAAAGTATTTGTATATTATAAGGAGTTTCTTAAATAAATTCTGGTGTTTATCACATAACTTAGCATGTTTGGCAAATACCAATTTAAAAAACATTACCACTTCAGCATTTTCTTTATCTAAGATTCTGAATCGAAGCCAAATTATTGGCTGTCACATTAATCTGAACTTGTATCCTTGTTAATTTCAACTTTTGTAAAGAAATGTTCACGGTAGCCATGGGGGCTTGTGACAGCTGCAACTAGATTAGGAACAGAAAAACAAAAATTCATAACTCCATTGCAAGGGGGTCCTCAACTGCCTCTCTCAAACAAGATCCGGGTTTAATAGGACATTCTTCATTAGAATTTGGTCCTGCAAGTAAAATTAGTACCTTCTCCTGGATTTCTGCCAATAAACAGTCTATATTATAAAAACGTATGTATGAGATGGATGCATACTTTTGTTGGCAAAGATTATGACCCATAGAGTTTGGATTATTCTGAGTGACTAATGAAGGTTCACAGTCCCTTATCGACAACTCTGCAGAAAACTCTGAAAGCTGAAAGTTCATAATGACTTATTTGGCCGCAGAACTGGACACCATGTGATGAGAAGCTATTTGTATTCTTTATCCTTTATTTAATGGTTCTGCTGTGAAACTAATAGTTTTGCTTAGAGTAGTTTTATGCATGCAGCATATTACTTTTCTAAAATGCCCAAATTCTAGATTTCCACACCTGTCTGGTCCAGAGGATTTTGAATTAAATGATTATAAACCTCTACCAACAATCTCTAGGATTAGACCATCTTTATCCTTTCCCTTGGATCCAAGAGTATAATTGACAAAGATTCAGATACTGTCACTTTCAAATATTGGGGATTTTTTTTTTTTTTGTATGTTATTTTTCCAAGCAACTGCCTTTTACCAGTCTGAGTGAGTTTTCTGGTGTTCTCCAAATGTGTGATTCAGAGGTTGGTGACTGCTCACACCAAGACTCCTCCCTGCATTGGGTACTGGCCAGTTTTACCGTTGACATCCCCTCCAGACAGCCGGTTTCTCTGGTCAGCACAGCCAGCCGTAAGAGATGCTCTGAAAATTATTCTGGTATCAAAAACTGAGTTTGAAATTTAGTATTTGAGGATGGCTTTTGTGTGCTTTTTGGAGGCGGTCACAAGGATAGTCTTCTTCAGAGCAGGTCCTACTGGCAGTGTTTAATGAGGGTGAGACATAGCTATGGGGTTAGAATTAAAAAACACCCAAGCTCTATAATTTTAGGCAAATCATTTCATCTTCCTGGGGCACTGGTTTGCTTTCACTTTTTAGTGAGTGGACTGGACTATATAATCTCATGGGTTGTTTGTAGCTCTAAGGTATCCAGAACTCACAAGTGAACCCTAATCAACCTCCTATGAACCCTACACGAAGACCACTTTTATTACTTTACTGATACTCTTCTTTCTTAAAATGAACGATGCCTTTTCATGTATTAAAATCATGGAGCTTAAGGGCCAGAAAGGACTCCAGTACAGTGGCCATTAAACTGGGTTTTGCACATCCACGTAGGTGCCAAGATTAAGCTAGGTGGTGCAGCTAGGGCCAATATCCCCGCTTCAGCCAGAGTCATTCTGATGTTATGTGCTTTATTTATTTATTTGACAGAGAGAGAGAGAGACAGTGAGAGAGGGAATACAAGCAGGGGTCGTGGGAGAGGGAAAAGCAGGCTCCTCGCCGAGCAGGGAGCCTGATGCGGACTCGATCCCCAGACCCCGAGATTATCACCTGGGTCGAAGGCAGACACTTACCAACTGAGCCACCCGGGCGCCCCTGATGTTATCTGCTTTAAATACCTGGATGGTGCACAGGGTTTTGTTCGGAGGTAAAGAGGAAAGTCCTTCCTTCAGGCTGGTCTGGTCACCTTCATTTTGCCAACAAGGATGCTCATGCCTGTGGAGGGTAAGAATGCTGCCAGGCCGGAAGCAGGACGAGGACACTTGGTTCCCTATTGACCTGCATGTGTTACTGCAAGTTGGCCGGGTGTGTTCACTGTGTATTAGATGGAGGGAGTCACAAGTAGACATCAAGATAAAGGGTGAAACTAGGATAATGGAGCCGTTATGAAGCTGCACTAGCCAGCGGGACACATGTGGCTACTGAGCACTTGGCATGTGGCTGTTGCCACGAAGGTATTTTTGATTTAACTTTGAATACCCACATGTAGTTCCCATGCCATATGAAACATCTAGATTTTCACTTTAAGGAGTGGCCAGACTAGGAAGCAGAGTTTTCCAGGAGGGCAGACTTATTTGACCAAGCTGATTCCAAAGGGTAGTTCCACAGCCTTACAAACAAGTAAATAGAAAAGGTCCTCCCCTCGTCGAATGAAGGAAATTATAGTAAAAAGGGGAATTACATCTCTGTGTTGATTGAGAGTGACCTAACCTGAGGAGCACAGTTCCTACCACTTAACAGTTACCTGGTGGGGTAAAATTTGGGAACATGACAGCTGTCGTTCTTTCATGATGGTGTATTCAAATTTATATTACGATTTACCCACAAATACAAAGTCCTCAAGTACAGAGCAGTTGTTCCATGAAACTTCCTGTGAAAGGCAGAAAAATGCCATATCTATTTTATTTGGATTTATGCTAAATCTCTGTGTACTTCTTTGTCGCAGAAAAACTGCAGAAGTCAATCTTTTGCCTATTTTAGAGTTCATATTCTCCTGCATGAAGAAACCACCCAAAGCTACAATCAGACGGATATACGATTTTCCTTTTAGGATGATTTTTTTGGTCCTCCGGATGTTGGTTACAGATGGAAAAACCAATTAGCGAATTAATGTCATCCGGTTTAAGTATCAGACCAGAGACCCATGGTAATCAGGTCGGTTTGGCGGCTATTCACTTCTGGTTGATCCCTAAGTGGTCTCTTTGTAACAAGCTATTATTGGTTGATCCATAAGTGGTCTCTTCGTAACAAGCTATAACTAGAAAACAGGTTACAATCTGAGATTTTTCTTTTGTTTCTCTCTCATACACAAAACTGTAAAACTGACTAAATACCTTGCTTCCTTATAGTGTGGTTTCTTCAAGAGAAATAAGAAAGATCATTATGATGCCACCTATCACAAGGCTGAGATCCATGCTCAGCCGTCTGATAAAGAGAGGCTTACTTCTGATGCATAGTATTGATCTACTTCTGTGGTAATTGATCAATGTTTTTTCATTGCTAGCTGTGGGACCCGCTATGGTTGTGGTGGCTAACTTTAAGAGCAACAGCTTGCTGTGTGTGTCCCATTAACAGATGTTTCCAAATGTCCACACTGGCTTGCCTTGCTTTGATTTGTTTTATTTCACTTGAAAGCTCAGTTTTGTTTGTGTTTTAGAAATGCACAAAGAATCTTTTGTTGCAGGTGAGTTATTTTGTGTTGTTAAACGTCACCCACAGCAATGAAGATGATTGGACTCTATGTACACACAAAAGGAGGCATTGGACCTCCCTAGGAGCCCAGTTTGCCATGTGTTGTCAACCCAGTATATAGCATCCCACTTGGAATTTCAAAGGTGAATAAGAAATCACTGCAGATTTCTTGTCCACTTTGGGATTTTCCACAGATAGAAGCTTGTGTTGACTGCCTAATTAACCTGTTGCATGTTGGAAACATTGTGTTTCTCTTGAGAAGGCTTCCTTACTGTCCTTTCTGATCTTGCTATAAAGTGATGGGGGAAGGCTTGGAATGCTTTTGTTGCTCAGAAATTGTTTTATGCTCGCTAAGCATGCGACTTCCTTTTCCTGCATATCTACTACGGGTCAAAGACCACTACAACAAACTATGAATGTGTTGACCTGGTGGACACGATGGCCAATTTCAGAAGATCACTCTTTACCAAGTGACCTTCATTATACAAAATTCTAATATAAAAATGCTCTGGACAGTTATGGTTTCAATATGTTGTAATGGAGTTTGACCTTGTTTCATGTTCCTAGAGATCTTATTCAACTTTGGGTCTTGGTTGGTTTTAAGTTCGTGTTTTGCTTCCCTTGTTTGTAAATCCATGGAAACAGGAATTGGTGGTAATTCCTTTTTCCATTTATGTGGGCACGAGGGGATGGAATTATTCCTATAATCCCTTTCCATGACACTGTCATGATGAATCCCAACCTTTCCATTTCAGTTCTACATACCACCCTTGACTTCCTCCTCTTTTAAAATGAAGCAAGAGCCACATTTTGCAATAGGTATTTTGGCTTTTTGCACAAAATAATAAAGGAGTCCAATGTGGAAATGGCCTTACAACAAAACTTCTTGGTCCATTTTTCCCAATGATTTAGTGATGACGGAATCTAATTTTACTTTGCCCCATGACATTTTTTTTTTTTAAAGACTTTATTTATTTATTTGACAGAGATCACAGTAGGCAGAGAGGCAGAGAGAGAGAGAGGAGGAAGCAGGCTCCCTGCCGAGCAGAGAGCCCGATGCGGGGCTCGATCCCAGAACCCTGAGATCATCACCTAGCGCCAAAGGCAGAGGCTTAACCCACTGAGCCACCCAGGTGCCCCCGCCCCATGACATTTTTATAACCTCATTCAACATAAATGTTCTGTTCCTATCACATGATACACATTAACCATTCCAAGTATCTTCCTCATCCTCCTCCTAGCTGCATTTTTAAATCAAAACACATCTTTTCCATGAAACATATTTTATTCATTTAAAAATTTCAGTTTGATTAAAAATTTTCCTGATATGTTCTCCATAAAAATCTAATTTGGATCAGATTGAATATTTTTTAAAAAATGAATAAAAAATGTATTCATAAATAAGTGTAAATGTCTTCTGAAAAAAAAAATAGGGGTGCTCTGAAATTTAATGGCATACTTTCCTCAAGTTCTTTGCAGTACCTGATTCATTTTATTATAGGACACAGTTACTACATGATTTAATGAAACAGCTTAAATTTGGAAGCACAACAGGAAATTCACACAATGTAAATTACCTTATAGCTCATGAGAGATGTGTACTTAGCCTCGGAGGAGAGAAAGTCCTTAAAATGACTCATTTGAACACTGGCATAGTCAAATAGTAATCTGTAAAAATATTGGTGATTTGATTTCATTTTGTGAGACAAGGACACAAAATAATCTTTAGTTCGTGGCCTTTAAAAAGATTGTTCTTTAACATCTAGTCTAAAATTGAGATCTTTTTAGCAGAGTATTGTGATTATAAAAAATGGAAGCACTGTTCCAGAGCTCTGAAATTGTTAGTAAAGAGGTAGCTTACTACATTGTTATAAAATGTAAAGACAAGATGGAAAAAACGGACTTTCCTTCTAGTTTTACAGCTGTCTTCTCCTACGCTTATCCCCAATGGCTGTTGTCTTTTCAACCTGCTTGTTCCTTCTTAAACCATTTTTTTCCCTTTGTCCAGAGGTAGGCGTAGCTGAACAGAAAGCTTAGACATTCCCATTTTGTGCACTTGCTTTTCTTGCAATCCTTAATTCGTTTCTGCTTCTCTCTCCCCTTGATCAGTGCGGATTCTTTAAACGCTCCAGGTACGACGATAGCGTTCCCCGATACCATGCTGTGAGGATCCGGAAGGAAGAGCGGGAGATCAAAGATGAAAAATACATCGATAACCTTGAAAAAAAACAGTGGATCACAAGGTGGAATGAAAATGAAAGCTACTCCTAAGAGGGGCCAAAAAAAGCTTCCCAGTACCCAAACTGCTCTTCCCCGCCCAACTCCGACATCTAAGTGGACTTGCGAGACTGTTTGATCCCTGAATATTAATTTCAGACAGACTATGCCCAGTACGAACTTGGACAGTTTTCACTGTGGACGCTGATGTGTAGCCTGGGGCTCTCTGGTCTGGCACAGCCAAATTTAAGACTGTTGGAATGGAGTTTTCTTTAACTGCCTTAATTTAACTTTCCGGGTTGCCTTTGTTTTTGGTGTGGCTGACTTGCCTGGGCCCCGGTAGGGCCTCCCCTGCGGTGCTCGCGCCCTGTACTCCCCCTAGCATAGCTGAAGATGGCACCGGTCACGGTCACTGCGCTGACAGGCCGGCCGCGCTCGTTGGCACTGCCTCTGCACGCCTCCCTCCCCTAGGACCGGAGAGCTGCAAGGGAGCAGTGGGCAGCACCAGACCGTGCCCTCGGGTAGCTGTGTTTCACTTCAGGGTGCTACCTTCAGTGCAATGTGCAATAGGTGGTGTTGCCATCCTGCCATCTGTCCCCATTTCTTAGACGTGTGAACACTCCTCCCACCAGATAACATACAGCTTTCACCCTTCCTGCTCAGACACAGGTGCAACAGACTTGAATGCTACTTAGACTTACTTGTATATGCTATTTATTTTTTCTTTTTTTTTTTTTTACAACCGTTTTGTCATTGACAGCCAAAGATTCTCCACTTTACCCTTCCAGTTGGATTGAACAATCAGAATTAGAACATGGGAGGTCATGGGTTTGAATTTCGTGCAAAAAAAAAAAAAATCCTTTTGTAAGTTATTACATCTCCTTTCCTGACAGCCCTCACCCCCTTCTTCCAGATCAAACTGTTTCAGAAAGAGGAGTTAACCGTGAGATGCTCAATTCTTATCGGACAGCACGTATTTTCGAGTTTAGAGCCCTGTGTGAGGTCTCCTGCACCCTTTGTGCTGTAACTTTCAGGAACTCTTGGAAATAATGGGTTGGTTTGCTGGACTCGGATGCGGTGTAAGCCCTGTTGCCCACACTGTACTGTCCGGACTTGAGAGGGTTGGTGCCTATGGTGGGTCCAGACGGATCCAGTGCGAGACTACTGAGTATCTGATCCCGAAAGTCAGAACATCACGGCTTTTATGTTTTTAAATGTTGGAACCATTTAATCGGTGAGTCAGTGTTCTGTTTTTTGTCTCCTCCCCTATCTGTAGTCCCCCACATTACTTTGGGACTGCGCTAACTACAGTTTTCAATGGTTTTAATTGTAAAAATGAACTGGCAGAGGAGGAAAACATTTCTATTCATTCAAGAGACAATGAACAGATAGGAATTTGAATTTTTAAAAATTACTGTACTTCAAAATGTAAAGTTAGATGGGGAATAATAGCAAACAGGTGCTAATTTGTTGGAACAAAATTGTTGCTTTGGAGTTTTTTTTCTTTACAGAAATTGTATGCTCTGAAGATACTAAGGACATTATTCTCATTGTACTTTGGGACTTTCATTCACAAAGATGGTTTTACAAATGATACTTTGTTTACAAAAATTTCTCTAAAACAGGTCATACCAGTGTTTGAAATCTAGGTTTCTTGTTTAGGTAGGTACCTTGTAACCAAATGCACTGGCTTTATAGGTTGCCACAGAGCTGATATTTTGAAAGTGTCTGTATATCTTTGTTAAAAAACAAAGAATATCCTAAAAGGGAAGAGGTGGAAGGCTGGTCCAACAACAAGGAACATAGTGGTGTTCATTGTTAAAAACGTCATCTCAAGTCAAGTCACTGGGTCTGTTTGCATTTGATACATTTTAATACTAAGTAGCACTGTAAAATTATGATTAGAAAATACCTGTGGATATTTGTATAAAAGTGTGAAATAAATTTTTTTATGAAAGTGTTCATTGCTTAGTAACATAGCATTATATATATGTAACGAAAATTATAAATAACCTAATTGTGTTTTTATTTAATGAAGGCTAACTCAAGTTTTTGAGATTTTATTTTCTTTGAAGGTTTTCTTCTTTTCCTTCGGGCTCTACTGTTCATTTTCTTTTGATATCAACTGACATCAACTGATCTGAAAGATGGCCTTATTTGAGATCCCTACAAACTGGGAGATGTCGTTTAGCAATGATACCATGGCACGAAGAGTAAGAGTTCTTGTGGCAAAGTTGCTCTCTTCCGAGAAGATATTTTGGACGTGAGAGCAGTTTGAATGTGGCACTATTGATCACCAAGGACTGATTTGGTAGAACTGACTGGCCTGAAAATATTTTCTTCACCAAAGTTTTCTGTTTAGATTTATAAGCAATTTTATGAACCTTCTTTAGCTAGATTATCACAATCTATACAAAACTAAGGCATGGAGATCTCAAATATTATAGCAAATAGCATGCCCTGTCCCGAATAAATTTCCAATGTAAAATGTATCATCTGTCTAGTAAATTAAATAATAGTTTTCTACTAAGTATTATATAGTGAATCTTGGTTCTTTGAAGATCAGACAGGTTTTACCACCCAAAGAAATGTGATGGGTACTTTCTAATGACAGACCAGTGTGAACCTTTATTCACAGTCCCCTGGACCTACCCAGATTAATGACTACAATCTGTAATCACCATCATCGTTCAAGTGTCCGTGGCTGTACTTGGACTATGGCGTAGGTTTCCTGCGCTGGACATCATGGCAATACTTGATAGGATTATATCCCTTCCTCTCCCTCTTAAAAAAATCCTACAGGAATGCCTAGGAGTGACAGTAGAAGATAAATCGGAATATCCTTGGATCCATTTACAAACACTGACCTTTTGTTGCTGGTTGCACAATCTCCCACTGGGTCATGCCTTTGGGGCTGGGACTGTTCTGGAATGTGGGGCAGATATAAGTGGTAATGCTTTAAATTGTCCAGACCAGGGAAGTAAGGGTAAGATCAAACCTTCTACCCTACATGACAACATTGTAATGAGAACTGACCCCTGGCACACGACCTCATGAGAGGACAATGTGGGAAGACAGATTAGGGTTAATAGACTGTTCTGTTTTAAAGGAAGAAAAGAGTGAAATGCTCTAGGTGCCTGGGTTCCAGATAAGTACAACCTGAAGGCTGAGAAAACAAAGTTATGAGAGTTGCAATCAGGAGCCATAGCATAAAGTAAATGGCTGAAGGCAGTTCCTTAAAACCAAAGGGTAGGGGGTACCTGGGTGGTTCAGTGGGTTAAAGCCTCTGCCTTCGGCTCAGGTCATGATCTTGGGGTCCTGGGATTGAGTCCCACATCAGGCTTTCTGCTAGGCGGGGAGCCTGCTTCCTCCTCTCTCTCTGCCTGCCTCTCTGCCTACTTGTGATCTCTCTCTGTCAAATAAATAAATAAAAAAAATCTTAAAAAAAAAAAAAAACAAAGGGTAGGATGTAATCGTGGTTCAACCACTGAGGAAAAAGCAAGGTTCAAAGAGATGACGAAAATGAACTAAGAAGGATCTCAAAACAGGAACTACCACAAAAAAACCAGCAGGTCTCTGTTCTTCTACTAGTTCCTGTTTACGGGCACAGGGCAAGTGAGTGTTTTTTCTCCTGTAACTTTAAAAAACAGGTTTTGCGGACTCTGAAAGGCATCTGGCCCAGCTGTTAGGATGGGGGAAAGTGCTGAACACCAGTGGCTGAGGCCAGGTCTACCGAGACGTTAACCAACAGACCCCAAGAAATCTAGAAGAAAAGTTGTAAAGGGATTCATGGTTAAACCCTCTAAGTGAATTAGAGGACAGAAATCAGGAAAAAACTGGTCTAGCACAGTGCAAGGGTAGACCATGTGCCACATGCCCCATGACTAACCAGGGAATGGTTAATGAGGACACCAGAGTGAAGGAGTCAAGTGCAATTCCTGTAGAGTCAGCATAAGGGCCTCAGTCATCTCTTCGCCCTCCCCCCAAGCCATCTCTCAGACTGTTCCAGGGAAACAAGCAGCGACAGATCCACGTTAGCAGAAGTCAGATAAAATTTTACTATTCATACTTCTAGAACATTCACAGTCTCAAACTACAGGGATAGCATGTACTTCTTTCATTATCCAGAGATTAGTGCATAAGTAAATAACTAGTAGATAGGTGTGAGTGTTAAGATCCTGTCATTGTGGGGCACCTGGATGGCTCAGTGGGTTAAGCCTCTGCCTTTGACTCAGGTCATCCCAGGCTCTGGGATTGAGCCCCACATCAAGCTCCTGCAGGGAGCCTGCTTCCCCTCTCTGCCTGCCTCTCTACCTACTTGTGATCTCTCTGTCAAATAAACAAATAAAACCTAAAAAAAAAAAAAAAAAAAAAAAAGATCCTGTCATTGTGAGGTGTGCCCGGGTGGCTCAGTCACTTGAGCATCTGACGCTTGTTTTTGGCTCTGGTCATGATCTCATGGTCATGAATCCAGACCTGTGTCAGGCTTCATTCTCTCTCCCTCTACACCTCCCCTCATGTGTGCTTTCTCTCTCAAATCTTAAAATCCTGTCACTGTGAAAGAGACAGGTGTAGTTTAATAACTGTTAGATGAATGGAAAAAGAAGATATGGTATACATGGTCTATGGAATATTATGTAGCCATAAAAAGGATCTTGCCATTTGTGACAACATGGATGGAACTAGAGGGTATAATGCTAAGTGACATAAGTCAGATGACATAAGTCAGACAAATGGCATATGATTTCACTTAGATGCAGAATATAAAAAAGCAAACAAAGTAGAAACAGACATATAAACAGAGAACAAATTGGTGGTTGCCAGAGGGGAGATGAGTATAGAGAGGAAACAAGAAAATCATAAAGAGGAGTGGGAGGTACAGGCTTTCAGTTTTGGAACATGGAAGTCACAGGGATGAAAGATACAGCATAGGGAATATAGTCAATAATGTAATAGCATTTTATGGTAAATGGCAGCTACACTTGGGTTGAACATGACAATGTATGGAATCATCTAGATACTATGTTGTACACCTGTAACTAACACCGTGTGTTAACTGCACCTCAATAAAAAACAAGGGGCACCCATCTGGCTCAGTCAGTTAAGTGTCCAATTCTTGGTTTTGACTCAAGTCATGATCTCAGGGTTGTGAGATCGAGCTCTGTGTCAGTCTCTGCACTGGGTGTGAAGCCTGCTTAAGATTCTCTCTTCCTCTGCCCTTCATCATCTCTAAAAACAACAACAACAACAATGACGACCCCAAATTCTCTATTACTACAGTTCTTCCCTCCCCAACATCCTTTTTATGGCCTGTAAGAATGAGAGAAGGTCTTAAACAAAAGTACTATTTTCTTTTGACATGGTCATTTTTTGGTATGCAATAGTTTGAGTTTCCTCATTATGTGACGCTATTTATAATTCATTCACTTATTTACATATTCATTAGTTGTAGAGAAGTCTTCTAGTACCCATTACAGGCCAAGGTCTGTGTCTGGGGATGGAGATACAGAAGTAACAGACATGGTTCTTGCTCTTGGGGAACTTATGTGATAACTAATATTTAAGAAAATGGATGGACATCACAATAGCTAATTTATTTGTACTTTTAAATATAAAATGCACTGCCATTTGTCTATGCAGTGATATTACTTCCTGTTTTACACAGAAGGGGCCAAAAATCATAATCACAATTTGCGAAAAAGTTGCTTCCAAAGAGTAAAATAACATAATGGCTGCTTTCAGTAGGCATTAGTGTTCTTTTCCTTTCTTTTAACTTAGTGTATAATAAAATACTGGAATACTTAAAAGACTCTACGAAAAAATTTTAAAACAGATGGAAATGAATCCACTTTAAGTAGCAGAATTTAAAATCTTGCATTATAAATGGTTAACATATAAGGTCAGTATCTGATGCTATGTGAGTGGAACTTGCCTCCAGAACCAACCCAACCCCAGATAATCCAGAATAGACACTCCACCTGGGCTGCACATTTGAATTTCTAAAGAACATTTAAGAAAAAAACCCCAATACCTAGACTACACACCAGACTGACTATCAGAATCTCAGGGTGGGACCCAGGCATCAGCACCACTGAAGGATCCTAGGGGACTCAAAGTGTAGCCGAGTTAGATACTTGTTTAGGAAGTCGTTGGATGGCCTGAATATTTATGGAAAGAGCTCTGCCCTGCATGTGGAAATGCCTCATTTTGTTTCCACTGGTGATTCCAATGCGCCAGTAACAAGAGTTGAGAAGCTAGAGGCATCTTTGCCCTAAAGAGAGAGGGCAAGTGGTTAGCGTCACCTCTTAGAATATAACCTGGTGAGTGACTGGCATGTTTGTGCCCTAGTTTCCTCATCTGTGAAACAGGATCGATAATAGGAATTTCTTAGGTTTTTGTAAGGAGTAAAGAAGACTATTTGGAAATGCTCTGTAATTATAATTACGCTTGTTATATAAAATCCTAAGACGTTCAGGTAGGAAGGAAGCATAGAAATTTAGTTCTACTTCCTCATTTCACAGATGGGGAGGCATAGTTCCTTTTAATTCTCACTGACTTTTTGTCTCACACTTCAATGCCTGTCATACCCCATGCCTTACCAGTGGGTGTTCCAGCCCCTGCCTGCAAGCTTAAGTACCTTTAACTGACTATAAAATACTGTGAACCAAACTCTTGAATCTGAACTCCTTATCAACATAGGTCACTTTGTTCAAGAGTGACCTGATTTCTGCTAACCTGGGCCTTGGCTCCTTAATACAATGATGAATGTAGGTCGGGGCACGTGCACAAAGTCAGTGTGTAGGCATCTTGAAACTGCTTTGTATTCATTCTGGTTGTTGTTGTTTTTCCTGACACGGAAGAATATAAAAGGAGCAGATTCTTTTTGAAAATGCTTTCTCAGTTCTTTATGCACACCATTAATTCTTTGGTTTCCCTTAGTGGGAACGTGCCCTACAGTTTTGTTGCTTGTTACCTTTATTGCTATGCAGAAGAGGAAATGCTCACATAGCCCAG